GAAGGTCAGAGGGGAGGTCTAGGCTAGACGTAAAAATCAGGAAAGTATCGCTGAAGAGGTGATATTTACAAGAGTGGGAATGCCTGTGATTACCTAGGAAGAAAGGGCAGGTGTGGAAGAGAAGAGAGCCAGAGTACTTAGAGGTTTTAGGAAGGTGAAGAGGAAGCCAGCCAAGAACCTGAGAAAGCTGGACCCAGGAAGTTGAAGACAAAGAACAACCAAAGGAATGTGGGATCAGAAGCCAAGAGAGAAGGTTTAAAAACAAAAAAGCAAAGCATAGAGGGGCCGACAGTGTTGAATATGCCTGAGCGGTGGGGTATGATGAAGGATTACAGACTGCTTTTAAGAAAAGTTTTGCCATGAATTGAAGGGAGATGAAACAAAGGTGGAGTGAAGGGAGAATTTGTTTTTCTTAATATGTGAGACACTAGAACATATTTGTGAACTGATAGGAATAACCTAGTGGAAAGAAAGAGATCTGTGGTGCAAGAAGCCCAGGAGAAATAACTAGAAGCAAAGTAGTAAAAAGGGGCAAGTGTGGATGGGTTTGAGAACAGAATTGGGAGAAATACTCCTTAAAGGCAGAAGGGATATTTCTTCCATTTTCAAAGGAAGATAGCCCAAATGGTGCAGATGCAGACAGGTTTGAAATTTTGATGAAAAGGAACTTGGGAGTATCTCATGGATTCTGTGTTTTTGATTCAATGCAGAATATGTCTCTTAACTTTGAGTCCGGTGGAGAAGGGTTTGGGCAGATTGAGGTAAGTAGGGGAGGTTTGAATAGTTGTCTCAGGGAGAGGAAAAGCACTGCCCCTGAGGAAATGTCACTGGGTCCCCAGGCAGTGTTGAGTGTACATCTGGGACTTGTGATCACACAGTTTCATGAAATTGGTTAGCCCAGTTGTAGATGCCTTCAGTCCAGTTTCTCTTGCTGCTCGAAGGCTGTCACGGAAAAGGTGAATGTTTGAAGTCAGCCAAATTGGGGTTTTGCCAGACAAGAAAAGGAAGGAGGGAGAGAATAAAACAAGGGAGTTAACGAATATTTGAAAAATTCCATGGAATCTGTGCTGGGCAAGTGTGGAAGTGAAGACAGGAAGGTGCGGAGACTAGGGAGAAAGTGAATTTGTTAATTGATTAGAAGCCTCATGAGGACAAAGAAATGAAGCAATAAGGATTCTGGGGTAGGCGAGCTGAAAGGCTTGGAGGCTGTAGCTGGAGAGAGGCTCAAAATTCAGATTTCAGAGGTGGTGTTGCAGTTTCCACTGATGACAATGTCCATGATGTAACCAGTGGCTGAGTAGCTGAAGAGTAGTAGAAAATCTCATCAGAGAAGACCAGCTCAGGTTACTGGGGAGCCAGGAAATTGCTACAGATGATGGGATCTTTCTGATTTTTGTTATTAAAAAAATTCCCATCAGACAGCAGATCAATGCAACCTTTGTAGTACTATCTTTATTCACAGCTTTACAGCGTCTGCTGTCTGCTTTCTACTTTGGACTTTTATTTGTTTTTTTAAACAACAGGAATTTATTTCTGCAACATTAAGGTGCCTATAGATTCTGTTTCTGGTGAGGGCCCATCTCCTTGCAGCATCTCACATGGTGGAAGGCTTTACCTTTAGATGAAATTTAAATTTAATATAAATTTCAACTGTTTATTAGCACCTGCTTTATTGGTACATGTCACCATCCTATACATCATAACTACCAGCACAGAGTTTCCATCATTTAAATCAATGGCTCAGATTTCTTTTAACTAATTTTTTTTTTTTTTTTGGTGACAGAGTGTCACTCTGTCACACAGGCTGGAGTATAGTAGTGTGATCTTGGCTCACTGCAACCACCACCTCCCAGGTACAAGCGATCCTCGCGCCTCAACCTCCTGCATAGCTGAAATTATAGACGTGTACCACCACCCCCGGCTAATTTTTGTATTTTTAGTAGGGATGGCATTTTACCATGTTGGCGGGGGTGGTCTCAAACTCCTGGCCTCAACTGATCCACCCACCTCGGCCTCCCAAAATGCTAGGTTTACAGGCATGAGCCATCATGCCTGGCCCCAGATTTTTTCACAAATTGTATAATTTTAAAGCTGTTGTACCAAGTTTTCTTTATAATAAAGATGATTACAGTATATTTGAATAGTAGTGGTCCCTAAATGGGACATTCTACATGAAAACTGAAAAGTTCCCCTTTTCCAGGCATATTAAGAACTACAGGCTGGGTGTGGTGGCCCACACCTGTAATCCCAGCACTTTGGGAGGCTGAGGTGGGGGGATCACCTGAGGTTGGCAGTTTGAGACCAGCGTGCTCAACATGGAGAAACCCCACTTGAATCCAGGAGGCAGAGGTTGCGATGAGCTGAGATCGTGCCATTGTACTCCAGCCTGGGTGATAAGAGTGAAACTCTATCAAAAAAAAAAAAAAAAGGAACTGCAGAGTCCCATTTAGGGCAAAGAAGTTTGGCAAGGACTTAAAAAATGTCCATATGAAATAGACAAGCTGTGTTGTCATTTCCTGCTCCTTCTTTTCTTATCTTCCTTCTGCGGAGTCAGCTTCCTATTCTATTCCATGCTCTTGGAAGTACTGACTATTGCAATTCCTTTGTAATTTATATATTAAAACAGTTGCACTTAATAGGTGTATTTTGCTAGAATACAAAGTCCACCAGAACAGAGACTTTAACAGTGCCTGACACATGGTAGGTGCATAGTCAATGCTTGTTGAATGAATGAACGCTTATTGTAGAAAACTAAAAAATACACATAAGGAAGATGCAAAATACCTCCACCACAAACTGGAAGTCTCCTCTGATCCTACCATACAGATAACCTGTTAATATTTTAGTAAATATCTTACCAGACACATAAATACATATCTATATAAAAGTATAATGAAATGTCTGGTAATAATAAGCACCAAATTAAGGGTAGTTGTTGCTTCTGAGGTTGGAGGGAGGAAAGAGGATGTGATTGAGGAAGAGTACACTGAGTTTCCACTGCAATGGCAATTATTTATTTCTTAAGTTAGATGATGGACATATGAAAGTTTTTTATATTATTCATTGTTTTTCTTGTATATCTGAATTACTTCATATTATATTCAAAATACCACCAGATTTTTTAATGCATACAACATACATGTGTACTTTTACAAAAGTAGAAGCATACATACTTATCAGTTCTGAATCTTGATTTTACTCACTTTATTTCCTTTTACTTCACATCTCTCCACGTCAGTAAATGTACTTCTGTGCATCACATCAATTTCATTTCATAGAATTGCGAAGTATGAAGCATAACTTAGTTAACCACTTCCCCACTTGGGGACATTCATCTGAGAAATAATATTGAGTGCAGGGGGGCCAGCATATTCAGGTCGTTGCTATTTTTATTAACTACTATAAATGTAATTCCTTATTAATGACTCAAGGATCAAAAGGCTTGATTTTCTCTCATTGTGAGTGAAGAGTGAGGAGGAAAATGAAGTAAGATATGCTGACCACCTAAGTGTTTAACCAGGGAAAAGAATGTCATTATCTTCTTCTAGCCCTTGTGTAAACTAGAATGCTTATTTCTCTATAGCCAGATATTCACAGGCCTGGGGGCTGCTGGCATTGTGGAGTGGAGGAGTTGGTCAACTTCAACAGGGTAGAGTTGTCTTGTTTGCTGCTTTGTGTAATTGCCATAGTTTTTCTTTGGATCTAACTTTACTTCCCCACCAAGAAAGGAAAAAGGGCAGTGCAGCAATGACTGTGTACCTCAGAACACAGAGAAACACTGAGCTCAGATCAGGCGTCCCCAAACTACGGCCCGCGGGCCGCATGTGGCCCCCGAGGCCATTTATCCGGCCCCCCGCCGCACTTCAGGAAGTGGCACCTCTTTCATTGGTGGTCAGTGAGAGGAGCACAGTATGTGGTGGCCCTCCAATGGTCTGAGGGACAGTGAACTGGCCCCCTGTGTAAAAAGTTTGGGGTCGCCTGGCTCAGATACAACTGCCTCCGTGCAAAACTGGTCCGAGCCTTTGGACTGAATTGACCAAGTCTTTTTTTTTTTTTTTTTCTTTTTTAGACACAAGATCTTGCTCTGTTGCCCAGGCTGAAGTGCAGTGGCATGATTATAACTCGCTGTAACTTCAAATTCCTGGGCTCAAGCAATCCTCCTGCCTCAGCCTCCTTAATAGCTAGGACTATAAGCCTGAACCAATATGCTGAGCTCATTCATTTTACTGTAGAGATGGAACCTTGCTATTTTTTCTGGGCTGGTCTCAACTTCCTGGGCTGAACTGATACTCCTGCCTGTGGCCTACCAAAGCACTGGGATTATAGGTGTGGGCCACCACACCCGGCCTGACTAAGCTTTTGATCGACAGTTGATTTGATTGTTTTTTCCCACTGATCTGGTCAGGGGTTGACTGAATTGCTGACAAATTGAGTCAATTCATTAGAGCAGGTGATGTTTGTAGATGCAATCATTGTTTCAGCTGATTTGGATCCCGTTCTGCATCCTAAGGAGATCAACTCAGGACAGGCTGATCTGTCAAACCGTAAATTGAGAGTATCTGTGTAAAGGCCCTTCTCTGTACAGTAGAAAGACAGATGCTCCTCTACTTACCATGAGATTACGTCCCAAGAAACCCATTCCAGGTTGAAAATATTTTAAGTCAAAAATGCGCTTAATACACCTAACCTATGGAACATCATATCTTAGCCTATCCTACCTGAAATGTGCTCAGAACAGTTACAATAGCCCACAGTTGGGCAAATAATCTAACACAAGTTTATTTTATAATCAAGTATTGAATATATTATGTATTTATTGAATAATGTACTGAAAGTGAAAAACAGAATGGATGTATGGTTAAAGTATGGTTTCTACTGAATGCGTATTGCTTTTGCGCCATCATAAAGTCAAAGTCATAAGTAGAACCATTTTAAGTTGAGGACTTTCTGCATACCGTAACTTTCGTTTGTGAATTTAATCACTTTGGATGTGCTTTCAGGGATGGCATATGCCCTACTAGCTGCAGTTCCTGTTGGATATGGTCTCTACTCAGCTTTTTTCCCTATCCTGACATACTTTATCTTTGGAACATCAAGGCATATCTCAGTTGGTAATTATATTTTACAATTATATTTGCTCATGTTTAAAGTGTTTTGACTATATTAAGTGCATTATACCTCTATTATATTTGTGCAAAAATAATTGCAGTTTTTGCAGTTAAACTTTTAATTGTGAAAACCGCAATTACTTTTGCACCAACCTAATTTGGTAATCTTTTCAGGGAAATAGAGTTTCAGTGTTTTGTCTACTTTTTCTGTTCAATGATGTTAGGTAACTTTTTATAATGAAGAAGAAATATTGAAAAACGAAATTCCAGCCTGCCTTAACATTTTAGCATGTAGCATGTTTTGGTTTTTAAAAACATGATAAATTTGACTCCAAATTTAGAAAGTATTCTCTTCCAAAATGTGAAATGGCAGGAAAAAATTGACACAAAGTCTTTGAACCTACCATTTTACCAGATTAGCTTATAAATGACTAAGTATGTTCATCAAATACATGTTTATGATTTGATTAAAGAGCATACTTGTTTAAAATCACTAATATTAGAAGATTGATAAGATCTTACCAAAACAATTTAGAAGCTAAGCTTGGCATTTTTTCTTGCTATGGCTTATAATGAATTTTCCGGCTTTTCCTAAAATTTGAATTCTATTTTGTTAGAATGTCCTAGTAAATGAGTGTTTTAATGCTATTTTGTGACTTTGACATTTATACTAGAGAAAATTTTGCTCCTACATCCATCTGCTGGCTAGACATGTCTACCTCAATGATCCTCTTGAAATAAATGCAACCATCTATTTTATCCTCAACCCATGTTTTTGTCCTTAGTTGTATTTCCTTAGGAGGAGAGCAGAAAGTAGTTATTGACTGAAAGAGCATCCTCACCTTAGAGAATCAATTAGTATTGAATGCTTGACTAGAGGAGAAACATGGAAGCTGATTTTCTCTTGAGTATTCTGTACATTGAGACATTCCAGGTGACTGGGGTTGGGTTTTGAGACCTCAGAACCATAAAGGCTTCCATTATCAAAGGGTAGAAATCATTGTCATCATCATGGATAAAAATAACAGTAGTGAATGAAGCAATTGCTGGAAAAAAATAATATTTTTTAAAACATAAAATCTTACAGATTGACATTTGATATGAAAAAATGTTGTGTCATACAGAAGGAGAAAGAAACTTCATACTCCCTTTGCTGTTTTTTTATCCTAACTTGGACCCCGTGATATTGATCAAGGTTCTCAGATCCACAGAGATCAGGACATTGGACACTTTAGGAAATTAATGAGATTATATGAAATGAAAATTGAGTGGAATAAGTAAAAACTCAATGTATGTGCTACCTTTGCCAGGAAACCTTTCCTGACATCTCTCATCCTTGTCCCCACCACCCATACGCATGAGGATCACACATAGACAGGCTAGACGCCTTCTGATATACTCACAAAGCATCCTGAATGTTGTATTGTAATAATTACCTACGTGTCTCTCTCGCCAGTTTCTGGGTCATGAATGCCTTGAGACATCTGCTTTTTAAGCTGCTTTTTGTTGTTGTTGTTGTTGTTGTTGTTGTTGTTGTTGTTGACACAGCATCTAGCTCTGTCACTTAGGCTGGAGTGTGATGGCATCATCTCAGCTCACTGCGGCCTCCACCTCCCCTACTCGAGCAATCCTCCCACCTCAGCCTCCCAAGTAGCTAGGATCATAGGCATGCACTACCACACCCAGCTAATTTTTGTCTTATTTTGGAAAAGATGGGGTTTCACTACGTTGCTCAGGCTGTTCTAAAACTCCTGGGCTCAAGCGGTCTTCCTACCTCAGCCTCCCAAAGTGCTGGGATTACAGACATAAGCCATTGTATCTGGCTTAGCTTCCTTTGTGAACAAACAAGATTTTCCTAGTCACAGCTAACTCTTTTACACATCTTTTAAATCCTATGTAGACACATTGAACACTTGTGATTAATAACTGATTAATTGTTAGAGACTTTTCTTCCCCCAGGACCTTTTCCAGTGGTGAGTTTAATGGTGGGATCTGTTGTTCTGAGCATGGCCCCAGACGAACACTTTCTCGTATCCAGCAGCAATGGAACTGCATTAAATACTACCGTGATAGACATTGCAGCTAGAGATACAGCAAGAGTGCTGATTGCCAGCACCCTGACTCTGCTGGTTGGAATCATACAGGTAATGAACTTACAGATAAAATATAAATTGGTATAATTTTTATTTGAGATTAACTTTAAAGCATATACACTTAAAGATTCTTCTAAAAACAAAATAATTTCCTGAAACCCAAAATTATTTTCTAAATTACGTTGTTTTAGATCAGATGCTAAAATAGTCAGCAAGACCCCACTTATTAAGGCTCACTTATCATCAGAGTCAGAGACAGAAAAAAAGCACAGAAGAACATGTGTGACTCAATTGAGGAAGAGAGAAGGGAAGTATACGGGAATCCGTAAAGGAGAAAAAGTGTTCTGGTGAGCGGAGACACGGGACTGAAAGCCACAGGAACAAGCTACAGATTTTTGCTTTTCTGAGTACATGTATAAAAATATTTCAAAGTTTTTATTATTCACGGTTTTCAAATTTTAGAGTGGAGGAGGGAGGGGAGCGATTAGGGCATTAAGAAATTCGTATTTTTTTTCCTACAAATATTTTTGTGCTATAGGTAGGCTACCAGTGTTTTAATTGGTATTATTTCCAGAGAGTCGGTTCCTGTCTCAGACAAACACTTAATTTTTGTTTCCTTTTTTTAAATCCTAGTTGATATTTGGAGGTTTGCAGATTGGATTCATAGTGAGGTACTTGGCAGATCCTTTGGTTGGGGGCTTCACAACAGCTGCTGCCTTCCAAGTGCTGGTCTCACAGCTAAAGATTGTCCTCAATGTTTCAACCAAAAACTATAATGGAATTCTCTCTATTATCTATGTAAGTGTTGCTTTTAACTCTAGGGATGGGTCACTGTTCATTCCAGAAACAATTGTATTCATTCTCTCTTTGAGTCTTGCTGGGCACGGTGGCTCACATCTGTAATCCCAGCACTTTGGAAGGCCATGGTGGGCGGATTGCTTGAGCCCAGGAGTTTGAGACCAGCCTGGGCAATATGGTAAAATCTCATATATAAAAGGAAAAAAATCAAAAAATCCAAAAATTCGCCAGGTGTGATGGTGCACACTTGTAGTCTCAGCTACTCAGGAGGCTGAGGTAGGAAAATCTCCTGAGCCCTGGAGGTTGAGGCTGCAGTGAGCTGTGATCACCCCATTGCACTCCATCCTGGGTGATAGAGCAAGACCCTGTCTCAAACAAAAACAAAACTAAAACAAAAAACTTGAGTCTGGAGAACCCACATTTCTCTATGCATACTTTGGGAGCCATTGAAAAGATCTGGTTGCTTCTCTCACAAATACTATTGTACTTAAAGACATGAATGAAGACAAAGTGGTATAACGCAGTAAAGGCTGCTCTGGAATGTAACAGACTTGATTTCTAGCTTCAACTTTGCCTCTAACAGGTAAGTGACCCTGAATACATCATGTAGGATACCAACTGAAAGCTCAGGTTTAGAACTGGGTGGGCCTGAGTTCAACTTCTGGCTCTACTGTCTACTAGCCATGTGAGCAAATCACCATGCCTCAGTTTCCTTCTCTGCAAAATTGTGTTAGTGATAGCATATGCCACATTGGGTTGTTAAATAAGAATAGATAAGCACTTGGCCCAGGGGCTGATACATAACAAGTACTCTAAAAAAGGAGTTATTTTGAAATTCTTATTTCGAAGCATCTTTTCTTATTGGTGAAATGAAATGATTGGAGATGTATCTCTAAAAGCTTTTTCTAACCGTGAGAGTCTGTAAAATGCATAATGTAAATGTCTCAACAATTATAGATGAAAAGGAACATTAGATTCAGAGATGATTCACCATGCAAAAGAAATGCAAAAGCAGGATGTAGATCACACTAATTAGATTTGAAAAAGGTCTTGGATCTAAAAATGTGTTCTATATAAAGCATGTTATTGATGCTTGAAAAATGGTGATAATAGTAACATGATGTCATCCTAGCTTGGAGGGAATGATGCCATACAAAAATAATGTACCACATTAAGAATGGAGTTTGAGTCTTTAAAGATGCACCTGTAAGCTTCTAAAACAATATAAGTCCATGTACACATATCTGAGAATTGGTGAGGTTGTCAGGAATTGCTCAATTTTGTAACAGTGCCATAATCCCATACTATTATACTCCATTCATTCACCAAATATTGCCAAGTGCTTACTACAGGCCGGGCACTACACTAAGCCGTGAGAATAGATAGAGGAGGCAGAAAAACATAGTGATTAAGATCATGAGGCCAGGTGTGGTAGCTCATGCCTATAATCCCAGCAGTTTGGGAGGCTGACATGGGTGGATCACTTGAGCCCATGAGTTTGAGACCAGCTTGGACAACATGACAAAACCTTGTCTCTACTAAAAATACAAAAAATTACCCATGCATGGTGACACGACTTGTCGTCCCATCGACTTGGGACACTGAGGTGAGAGGATCACCTGAGCTCAGGAAGTTGGGGCTGCAGTTAGCCAAGATCATGGCACTGCATTCCAGCCTGGGCGATGGGAGTGAGACCCCATCTCCAACAATAACAGCAGCAACAACAAAAACAAACACAAACAATAATCGACTTTGAACTTCAACAGACTTGAGTTGGAGTCTTAGTTCTACCAGCCACTACCCATGATGTTTATACTCAACTTCCCTAAGTCTTAGTGTCTGCAACTGTAAAATGGGAGTAGTGATAGTAGCTACCTCTTAGAGCTGGGAGGATTTAAAAAGAAAATATGTGTAAGACACTTAGCTTAATATCTGGCACGTAGTAAGAACTAAGTTTTTTATTATTATTATCACATATGAATAGACCTTATGAAGCTCACCATTCACTTCCTCAGGATCCAGTCTATTAGAAGCAAAACTTTTTGATTCAGCATTATATTGGTAATTCTTGATATATTTTTCCTGTAAAGTACTCAGTTTTCCATCAATTTCTTTCTTTGTTTGTTTGTTTGTTTTTTTTTTTTTTGACAGGAGCTTGCCCCATTGCCCAGGCTGAACTGCAATAGCTCAGTCATAGCTCACTGCAATCTCCATCTCCCTGTGTTAAGTGATGCTTCCGCCCCAGCCTGCTGAGTAGCTGGGACTACAGGTGTGTACCACCACACCTGGCTAATTTTCTTTTCCTTTGTTGAATCTTAGTAGGGGTGATGTCTCACTATGTTGCCCAGGTTGGTCTTGAACTCCTGAGCTCAAGTGATTCTCTCACCTTGGCTTCTCAAAGTGCTGGGATTACAGGAGTGAGCCACCATGCCAAGCCCATATTTAAACACTAAAATAAAAAATTTTAAGATTTTTTTTTTTGGGGGGTAGAGACAGGGGTTTTGCTGTGTTGCCTAGGCTGGTCTCGAACTCCTAACCTCAAGCAATCCTCTTACTGCAGCCTCCTACTGTGTTGGGATTATAGCAGTGAGCCACTGCACCTGGCCAGTTCTTAGATCTTTTTGAGATCTCTGACTGCCTTATTTTGACAGGCTCTGTAACTTTTGCAGTCCCTGGCACATGTTGCTTTTACTTACATTCACATTTTCTTCATCGAATGATCACTCATTTATTCCTTCATTCTCATTCATTCAGTTTATCTATTCAGTAAACATATATTGAATATCTACCATGTACCAGGCACTGTTCACTCCCTATACAAGTCCACTGAATCCTTAACCTATCAAGACATCCCTTACTGAGTATACTCACCTCATTGTGCAAACATGGCTCGGCCTTCATCTACACAGATCACAGGAGGCCCAAATTAACTGTTGACCTGGGTCCCTGGCCATTACAGGACCCCCACAGAACAGGGGAGATAGTTCTTCTGGTCTCCTACCTTTATGTTTAAGAAGAAACTTTCTGCAAATGATTTTACTTTGACAGCGGCAAAAGTGATCAGGAAACACTAGACCAAGGTCAAAAATAGTTTTTAAACCAAATGCAGTCATGATGTAACTTATTTCCTGTTGAATATTTTTCTTGATGTCTCAGTTTAGCATATAGCATAGAATTTTGCAAGAAATTCTTCACAGGCCAGCCAAGTTGGAGAAGGTATTTCAATCTTCTTTATGTGGGGATGAATATATGTTTGCTCTTCTGAAAAAAAAAAAAAAAAAAAAAAAGAATCTGCAGGTCTGAAAATGATTGCATAGGGTTGAATGAGCCACTTAGTCGTTGAACAGGGAATTTTGCTTATGACATTGCCATTTTAATTATACATGAAAGAATCTTTCAGTACATGCAGAGTAGTAGAGGATTCTCCTAGGAAAAAGTGCAAGATTGTTGTAAAATACTTTTCCTGGGATGTTAACTTATCTTTGTTCTAAGGTTGTACTTTGGTTTGTCTTGCCCTCTCCCCCAAAGAGGTACTGACAACTGGAAATAATGAATGCAAAGAAATACAGGAGAAAATATAAGGAGAAAAAGAAATCAGTTAATTCACAAATGCTGGAAATACTAGATGTAGAAAGCAGAAGATAGAAGGACAGGGTACTGGCAGCAATTTAGAATTAGTTAATACCCTTGATGCTACCATGTAGCTACTGTTAGCTAAGTAAGTCCCACAGTCCACTTAGGATTGATTTCCCACCATTCGATTTGAGTGGTTTGTCTCAGTAGACGAGGGTGAGAGCTCTGAAAGTCACCACTAAGCTTTATTAGATTTGTTGCTTTGTACCTATTTCAGTGTGTAAAACTTATGCCGTTATACTAAAGTAACACTTTAAGGATTGATCTATACTGGTATACACAAAAGATATGGTAGCAGGAAATGCCTGATAGCAAAAGGTGGTTGAGAAGGGTTTGTGATATTTGTAGAGATAAAATAAACTAAAAAAAATTCAGCTCCAAGAGTAAACTCATAAATTTTCTCATACACATTATTGGGTATAATTTTTTTCTTATGGCTTTTTCAACCCAGGTAATCCTGGGCAAGAACAAAGACATTATCTAAATGAAATTGTCCTAAAATTGTCCAAACACAGCAGGAATTATAGTAAAACATTATCTATTACCAAAAATTTCATTATCATGATTTGAATTATTTAGAATACTAAGCTGAAATACAGAATCATGTGTCCATATTATAAACATTTTGTAGTATTTTAACACTAAATTACAAGCACTGTTCAGTGCTTTTGTAGAGTCTAATTTCTATGTCTTTAAATATAATCTGACTATTTCAGTTTACATGCTGAGTTTTATTTCTACACAAATTAAACTTTCTATCATACAGCTCTTCTTAAAAGATTCTGAAGGATTATTCAGGATGTAGGCAACTCATTTATATACCCAGGTGCCTTGCATGATGCAATTGTGTAATACAAACTGATTTTGGTTTTTGAACCTCATATTACATTTTTAATCCACAAGACATACTTTTTATTCAAAGGTCTAAGTGATTCTCATCGATTAAACTGAAATCCTGTAGTGATTATTTTTGTGAGGTGAAAATGTTTTTGCAATAGGGATAATTATTCCAAATGTTTTATTTTTCAAGTTTCAATTTTCGCATCTTGAGTTGAAAAGCAAACCTTTAATGAATAGACAATTCATCAAAATATTATGCCTAGCTCATAAATTAATCAGGGTCATCCATCAGAAAATTAATTATGTAAAGGACCAAACAGCAACGATAACTTCAAGCCTCTGGGGTAGGTAGGACTGTTTGCTCCTGTGTGAAATGCCCTGAATTCTTGTTATTGTGTCTAATAGTAACCTTCAAGCCTCTAGGGTAGGTAGGGCTGTTTGCTCCTGTGTTAAATGCCCTAAGTTCTTGTTATTGTGTCTTCTGGTGGTAGTTATCCCATTTTCTTTTTCACTCTGCTATCCCCCCCTGGCTTCATCTTGTTTCTGTCAATGTATCTGCCATTAGCAATTTTCAGTGACTCTGAAAAGCAGACAAAGTGAAATAGTTGGTACTGGGTTTAAAGTAAGAGCAAAAGTACCCACCGAGTGAAAGTTCAAGAGTTTTCCTACAAGTTAAATGCCTGAACTCTAGTCCAAGTGCTCGGTGGGAGGTATTTTGCTTGCATAATAACTTCCCCCCTCATTCCCTCACTCTTGAAAGTGTTCCAGAGAGTTGAGGTTGCTGGCAAATCGACTCCTAGATTACTTAAGGTTCATTAAGTACTTAAAGTTCATTTAGTTCATACATTAATTGTCACCAGATTACCACTATAATTATTTATCTGTAAAAATGGGTAAAATACATGTTATAAACTATAAGATCCTCCATTCTTTTATCTTCCTATGAAAATATGTCTATAAAAGTCTCATTTAAAGAAAAGTTATCTTTACTGAGAAATTGTCTCAAAGAACTGTCTCAAAGATACTTTCTTAAATCATGCCTTCTACAGGACTGAGGGTAATATAACAAAGACAATGTTCTTCCCTGGGATTCTTCTTTGCTAATTTCCTTGAAAACACCCTTGATTCCCAGAAATCTCCTATTTACAAAACAAAACTAGTTTTTCTTGAATTGATTCATCTGTCTACTTAAAGATTTTTTTTGGCCAAGTGTGGTGACTCATGCCTGTATCCCCAACACTTTGGGAGGCTGGGCAGGAGGATTTCTTGAGGTCAACAGTTCAAGACCAGTCTGGGCAACAAAATGAGACCCTCCCCACAAATCTACAAAAAATAAAACAGCCTATTTATTGTAGTCTCTACAACAAATAAAATAAATACAGATGCCTGCCTGTAGTCCCAGCTACTCTGGAGGGTGAGGTGGAAGGATTGCTTGAGCTGAGGAGTTTGAGGCCACTGCACCCAGCATGGGCAACAGAGCAAGATCTTGTCTCAAAAAAAAAAAAAAAGTTGTTTTTTTGTTTTTTTTTTTAAATGTTATCTTAGTTCAAGTTTGATAAATAAAATTAAGTACCAAATTTATTTCCAAAAATTTATGCTTGGCCTATATGTCAATTCAGTAGCTTTTCTGTGCCATAAAGAATGAATCAGTCTACCTATATCCACATATGGAGTATTTTAGGATTTTTTTTTGTTATTGTTATCTGTATCATTCAGGTTTAGGAAAGAGCTTTACCTAAAATACTGGCTAATTGTGACAAAAAAAAAAAAAAAAAAAAAAAGAGAAAACACACACACACACGCACACACACACACACACACCACTGATCAACTGAAAGTTTCAGATTTAGCAGCCTTTAGTCTCAATAATATCACCATAGTAAAAATTAGGCTACTTAATAATACCTATAAACCCATTTTAAGATACAAACTTGTAAAGCTTTTCTTCAAGTAAAAAGCAGTATGTTTATAATGACATTTTTTTCTTTTAAGACATATTAGAAAAAATACAGAAGCAAAAATCAGAATGTAGAAATCACCCAGTTTTTCCTTTCCAAGTAAATGATCATAAAAAACTTGGTATATATACTGCAGCAATTGTATGTATCTAATGGTCTCTGTATCAACCAACATGTTTTTATCACTTTCCTGAAACTTTCAAGTGTTGCTTGATGCTGATATCAAGGTTCTTTGTGTGGGAAGATTTGTATGAGAATTAATTGTGTATGTGTGTGTGTGTGCATGTGCGTGTAGCAGCAGGAAGTATATAAAATTATTTTCTTTTTATAGACGCTGGTTGAGATTTTTCAAAATATTGGTGATACCAATCTTGCTGATTTCATTGCTGGATCACTCACCATTGTCATCTGCATGGCAGTTAAGGAATTAAATGATCGATTTAGACACAAAATACCAGTCCCAATTCCTATAGAAGTCATTGTGGTAAGTAGAATATGTGGTTAGAAAATTCAGCATTATTTGGTTGACAAGCAAGGAATTATTAAAACCAATGGAGTTTTTTTTTTTTTAAACATCTTTTGTTTTATTTCAGACGATAATTGCTACTGCCATTTCATATGCAGCCAACCTGGAAAAAAATTACAATGCTGGCATTGTTAAATCCATCCCAAAGGGGTGAGTATGGTGTTGCTCTTAGACAGTACTAATACAGTCCTTTTTACTTAATGAAACATTTATTACAAGCTTCATTTCACTGACGCTCCTATTCGTGTGTGGTCTTGAAGAAACAACCATAAGACAAACAGTATGTGTGTAGATAAATGTCAAGCCATTTGTTTAAAGCAGCCCCTCAATGCTGTTTTATCTTCATTTTCTTAAAATGTGGCAGAACATGTACAGTTAACACCAGACTCCTGATTTCAACTTATACATAAAATTATAATACAATATAAATAGAATCATTTCTTAGTAACAGCTATTGCACTGTGAACAATCTGCTTTAGGAATCAGGGATATCTGGCCTAAATTCTCTACCATCTAGTTTAATCAACCTTAGGCAATAATTATATCCTTCGTATCTATAAATAAAATGCATTATCTTCAAGGGAAGTTTTAGAAATGTTTGGTAGTTTGGTGAATTAGCAGAGTGAAAGACCAAGATCCTTCATTCATCTCTGTCACCATCCAGTTTTGTGACCTAAGGAGATCCTCCTATATAAGACAAGGATAATGAAAACAGCTGAAGCCTCAACTCAAGCTTGTTGTGAAACAGCAGTGAGATCTCTTATGAAACAAAGAACAGACAAAATACCCTGTGCTATAATTTTCTTATATGGGTTTACAAAGTAAGCCCAGATGTTTATTATATTTGTAACAATCACTTATAACATTTAAGACTGGACTTGCTGTTAATCAAGAAGTACCAGTTTTCCCTCCCTTAGGATTAGCAGAGGGACTTGGTACCAGTGTTTGTTTTCCATGCTCTTCATAGAAACTTCCTCAGGCAAGCTTATTCCCAGAGCTTATTCCACAGGGAACTGTTGTATTCCCATTTGATTCTTCTAATACCTGTTTCAAAATATTTGAAAAAGGACAACCGGCTACATGAAACTTAATTTACATGCTATCCATTATAGTGGTAAGAATCACATGGGATTCTTTTTCACACAGATTCCTGGTTCCCACCCCAAACCTATTGAATCAGGCTTTCCAGAGGAGGGGCTCAGGAATTCATATTTTTCAAAAGTGCCTCAGGTGATCTTGCCCTCAGGGAAATTGGAGAAACTCTTTAAGAGAGGATCAACAAATCTAATTGAACAATTAGATGATTTCAGGAGTTAGAAACAATTAAAGAAAAAGATACTTTACAGAGCCCTTTTTCAGGCTTCCTAGGATGTATTAAGTTATAGGTGGTCCACAGAGCAGGCCCTATCCCATCCATCTGTGTTCCATTAGTTGGCTTGGGAACTAATTTTTTCTGCCCTAAATTATCCTTCCACGTCCTCTGCAGAGCTTTCCTGTGCTCTTCTCCTGAGAATGGATCTCTAGCCTCTCGCCCTTGAGTTTAATGAAGCTGAATCCTTTGACAGACCACCTGGTAGCTTGGTCAGCTAATTTAACCTGCCTGGCCCCAGGGACTTTAAACTCCTCCACGAAGGCAGTGACCTCATTTGTGTTGTTCAGCTCTGTCCCCAAGCACAGAGCTCATCTCACTGTAGGCTCTCAGAAAATCCTTATGGAAGGGATAAAGTACCGAAGCCTATGTCATTATAAACAAGCCACAGCAAAGGCCTTGGTTATCCAATCTCACTTAGCAGCACAGAAACAATTCTGACGATATTAACAAACCTGAAGAAGAAAGGATGGAGTGGAGAGATTGGAAAGGAGCAAGTAGAGTATTAAAATGGCTGAGGTGAGCACAGTGAAAGGAAGAGGGGCAGAGAGATTGTGATATGCCCCCTTTTGATCTCCTCCCTGCTGCGATCTTCCATTAAGGCTACTGTTGGTAGTTCCCCTTTATTCTACTGAGGCTCAGGACCATATGTTGGAATCACTCAGTCCCCAATAACAACGCCACATTGGATAGTCAAAAACAGTGGCTCCATGCCCTTCCCTCCATCCCCTTTCCTGGTAGACACATAAGACATTTCCTTGTCCGGTCAGCATCTGAGCATCCCACTAGGATTTACTCATTCTCTCGCCCTGGGTATTTTCTTTCTTCTTTTTTTTTTTTTTTTAAAGAAAAAAAGAATAATAAGAAAAAGAATAAAGAAGAGGAAGAAAGAGAAAGAGGAAGAGGGAGAGAGAATGGGGGTATTGCTTTATTGCCCGGGCTAGAATGCAGTCTAAATATGGGTATGCCTGTAATTGTCCTTAATAATGGAGACATGAAAGAAAATGAGGGAAGAGAATAACAAACAAGGAGCCAACCAACATTTCGTTTAAACTTCTAAGTTGATATGATGTGGTACTGATAAGAGTGTATATTTTGTGTATTTAAAGTGGGGAGTTCTATAAATGTTAATTACATTTACTTGTTCCAGATCTGAGTTCAAGTCCTGGATATCGTTGTTAATTTTCTGTCTCATTGATCTAATATTAATGTTGAAGTCTCCCACTAGTATTATGTGGGAGTCTAAGTCTCTTTATAAGACTTATATATCTGGGTATTCGTGTATTGGGTGCGTATATATTTAGGATCTTTAGCTCTTCTTGTTGTTGCATTGATCCTTTTATCATTATATAATGTCCTTCTTTACTTCTTTTGATCTTTGTTGCTTTAACGACTATTTTATCAGAGGCAAAAATTGTAACTTCTGCTTTTTATTTATTTATTTTTGCTCTCTGTTTGGTTGGTAAATCTTTCTCCATCCCTTGTTTTGAGTCTTTGTGTATCCTTGAATGTGAGATGGGTCTGGATGCAGCATACCGATGGGTTTTAGTTTCTTATCCAAATTTCCTCTCTGTTTTTGGATTGGGGAATTTAGTCAATTTAAATTTAGAATTAATAATGATATATGTGAGTTTAATACTACCATTTAATATTAGCTGGCTATTTTGCCCATTAGTTGATGTAAATTCTTCATTATATTGATGCTCTTTACTTTTAGGTATTTTTTAGAAAGGCTGATACTGTTTGTTCCTTTCTCTATGTAGTGGTTCTTTCAGACGCTCTTGTAAAGCAGGCGTGGTGGTAATGAAATCTCTGAGTGCTTGCTTGTTCACAAAAAACTTTATTTTTCCTTCACTTATGAAGCTTAGTTTGGCTGGATGTGAAATTCTTGGTTGAAAATTCTTTTCTTTAAGGATGTTGAATATTGGTCCCCACTCTCTTCTGGCTTGTAGGGTTTCTGCTGAGAGATCTGCTGTAAGTCTGATAGGCTTCCCTTTGTGAGTAACCTGACCTTTCTCTCTGGCTGCCCTTAATATTTTCTCCTTCATTTCAACCCTGGTGAATCTGACGATTATGTGCCTTGAAGTTGCTCTTTTTGAGGAATATCTTTGTGGTGTTCTCTGTATTACCTGGAGTTGAATATTATCCTGCCTTACTAGGTTGGGAAAATTTTCCTGAATAACATCCTGAAGCGTATTTTCCAGCTTGGATTCATTCTCTTCGTCACATTCAGGTACACCTATCAAGCGTAGATTAGGTCTTTTCACATAGTCCCATATTTCTTGGAGACTTTGCTCATTCCTTTTTATCCTTTTTTCTCTAATCTTGTCTTCTTGTTTTATTTCATTGAGCTGGTCTTTGACCTCTGATATCCTTTCTTCTGCTTGATCAATTCGGCTGTTAAAACTTGTGCATACTTCACGTAGTTCTTGTATTGTGTTTTTCAGCTCCATCAATTCACTTATATTCCTCTCTAAACTGTGTATTCTTGTTAACATTTCGTCAAACCTTTTTTCAAAGTTCTTAGTTTCTTTGGATTGGGTTAAAACAAGTTCTTTTAATTCACAGAACTTTCTCATTATCCACATTTTGAAGCCTGCTTCTGTAATTGGAACACGCTCGTTCTCCATCAAGCCTTGTTTCGTTGCTCATGAGGAACTGTGATCCCCTGCTGAGGGACAGGTGTTCTGATCTTGGGTATTCTCAGCCTTTTTTGGCTATTTTCTTCCCTTTGTTGTAGATTTATCCATCTGTGATCTTTACAATTACCGTCTTTGTAACTGGGTTTCTGAGTGGACATCCAACTTACTGATTCTCAGCGCCGAAATCTGAGCAACCCACTGCGCCAACCAAATCAGCGGCGTTAAGATTGATGGTGCTTTTCTGACTCTGCACCAAGAACTGACGCTCCGAGGCGCCGGCAAAACTGCCTCGCTGGTCACAAGAGTCGCGCTGGCGACCCGTGGGGCTCCTCCACTGGGAATCTCCTGGTGCGTTGGCAACAAGAATTCATGTGAAGGTGTGGCGTCCTCTCGTTCTTTGCACTTTCACTGGGAGCTACAATCCCGAGCTTCTGGGCATTTTCTTAACCAGCAGACACTATGAGGGGCAGTCATGCGCCTTTCTTCTCATGCAACTGGTCCTTATCCGCACTCATCCTGTCCCAGGCTTCTCTTTTACTTCTTCTGTTATAGTGGTGTGTCTGTGTGTGTGTGTGTGTGTGTGTGTGTGTGTGTGTGTGTGTGTTTAAACTCATAACAAGACTGATGGCTTGCCCTCTAAATTGTAATCTCTATTCACTCTCTTACCTCCTGTCCTCTCCATTTCCAGAGGTCCTCTTGTTGTCATGTTTCTTACTGTTATTATTATTTTTTCTTTCTTTCTTTTCTGAAACAGAGTCTCACTCTGTCACCCAGGCTGGAGTGCAGTGGTGCAATCTCAGCTCACTGCAACCTCCACCTCCCGGGTTCAAGGGATTCTTCTGCCTCAGCCTCCTGAGTAGCCGGGATTACAGGCGCCTGCCACCACGCCCAGCTAATTTTTGTTTTTAGTAGAGATGGGGTTTCACCATGTTGGGCAGGCTGGTCTCAAACTCCTGACCTCAGGTGATCCTCCTGCCTCAGCTTCTCAAAGTGCTGGGATTAGAGGCACTGTTATAGAGCCCTTTTGTCAGGCTTCTTAGGATGTATCAAGTTATAGGTGGTCCACAGAACATGCCCTGTCCCATTAATCTGGGTTCCCTTAGTTGGTTTGGGAACTCAGGCCTACTGTTGCTTGTAAAGTATGTGCTTTGCAGTTGTTCTTGTAAGTCTGGCGCAGGGGCAAAGGCAACAAAACCACAGAGGTTTTTTCCCGGCTGCCTTCTGAGGGCTGCTCTTCTCTAGCTGGAGTGGTGGTGCGGTTGCCAAGTGTTCAGACCCCATCTGAAGTAAAAATATGCCCTTGGCATCTGTTTATCACACTGTCATTTGTGGAATTTGGGGCCCTTCAGGGTCCATCTCTCCGTGTCCTCATCTTTTTAGATAAGTGTGTGTTCACACGCTCACTCCCCTGGGGCTCTTGGTAGTGTTGTCTCGTGATCAGGCCTGATACGGTTGGCTGGGGCCAAAGAGGCCCAATGAGCAAAACATTTGGAGAGTTATGTCCACAGAAGGAGGGCAGGGCAAGAAAAAAGACTGACTTACATGTCACTAGAAGATATCCAGCAGGACTTCAGTTGGTTTAGGGCAGATAATTGGCACACTTAAGGTTCAGCAAAACAGAAGACATGAGTGGCAGGAATTTGGCAGACTTAGGTTCCCCCAATATATACCAAGAACCTACGATGTGTGTAGACACTAAGTACTTATACAAGTGATTCCTTCTTGAATCCTGTGAGAAGAGTGTATAGTCCCCATTTGACAGCTGAGAAAACTGGGACGTGGTAGGTTTTAATAACATGCCCAAAGTCATTTGAGAGAGATTCTGGTCTTTTGACTTATGTCTTTGCACTTTACCCTTCGCAACTGTGGATAATGAAGGATCAGGTCCTATTTGGAGAACTAGGCATGCAGGCAGGCAATGTGCATTAGGCTGCTATCAAAACTAAACTGTATGTGGAACTGGAAAGTCACCCTGTCAAGCCCCAGTGGCCTGAAGGAGGGTTGACTGGGTCTCAGGAGGAAGTCAGGAGCCTGCTTTGAGAAGTGTGGTCCCAAGTCACATCCAAAGCAGCAGGTGATATGATGTTGAGTTGCCCACCTATTGGTTCAGGGTTTCCAATATCCTGTCTGTCTACAGATGGGGTTCATTCCAGGGTCTCCTTGTGGGGTAGGATGGGATATAAGGAGAAAAGGGGTCTGAAAATTAACCTCATTTGTAGGGAGTAAGGCTACAAGGGCAGAGAACCAAACAGATCTTTTTAGGTAAGAAATCGTTTGATATTTAACATTTCAACCTGGACCCAAGCAAAGTAACTGACCTCAGGCAAATCACTTCACATTTCAGGTCCAAGTTCCTTTATCAACAAAACGAGAGAGGTGGATTCAGCAATACCTAGGATGCTCGCTAGGTTTAACTTTCTCTATGGTTTTCTCTAAAAACCTTATTTCTATTTTATTTTTACCACTGTTCTCTAATTATAGGGGAAAATGTAGTTTCCTTATTAAACAAACTTTAGGCGTAAATGAGATAGGTAGGGCAGACACTTCATGGCTGGGGGCCTCTGGAATTACACCATATGGATAATCATCAAGATATAGGTACATGAAGGCCATCTCCCAAATTTTCATATTTGGGTCAACCTCACGATGTAAATGCGTAGGTTAATTTTCTTATATGGTTTGTAGGGTAGCTCTGATTTTGTCAAACAATAGTCATTGGACCCCACAATCGTTGAGATATTTTAGTCACTATGGAGCATTATGATAATTATATTAATTTAATCTTTTTTGCTTTAAGACGATTTTAAATGTCATGGCCCTTAAGAAAAGGATTTTCCTTAAGGAAAGCTCTGTTAGCATCATACATTCTTTGTCTCTCTAACAGACCCGATATCTCTTCATCTAGAGTAAATCTCATATCATGGCTAGAATCTCTTTTAAATTCAAAGACCTTTAAGATGGAATTGTGGAAAGAGAAACACTAACATGTGAAATGGCATGGACGGGGCTATATTAAAGAATCAGTAACAGCAGATTTATTCCTGTGAGATATATAGAAGAGGCAGCATTGGTAGGCTCTAAAATAGAGGACAAAGAAAGCCAGTGAGATAACACCAACTTCTGATTAAACAGTTTAAAAGCTGCTACCACCATGTATGTATTTCATGTGCTATTTGTTCTCGTGGCACAAGTACTTTCATGTCTAATATGTGACTTAGTGGATATAGCATTGGATGAGATGGGGAAAAAGAATGGTCGTCAAATCTTTACAGTATTTTTCATTTAAAAACTCACTAGGTTTTTGCCACCTGCACTTCCACCTGTGGGCTTGTTCTCGGAGATGCTGGCTGCATCATTTTCCATTGCTGTGGTGGCTTATGCCATTGCAGTGTCAGTAGGAAAAGTATATGCCACCAAGTATGATTACACCATCGACGGGAACCAGGTATGGGTGCCCTTTTGTGAATTAGTTTTATAGAGCTGAAAACAAGAAAAAAACATAAATGGAAAAGATTTTGGTGTCAGCTAAAGAAGAGGTTAGATTCTTTCACCAGATCTTATTGGGTTGGTTTTCCTCTGTGCTTGTTAATTAGAAATTATTTTGGAGTAGGCATGCTGGATCACTTGGCTTCTTTAAGAAATCAGTTGAAATAACACTAATTTTAGAAGAGCTAATTCAATCAGGCCATAAATAACATTCAAAGTGAACATATTAGGTCAGAAACAGAATTCTTCATGTAACCCAGTACCTCTTGGTAATTATTTTTAATGGCAGTTATAATATGACCAAACAGTGCAACAAACATTATTAATAATAGTTGTGACCACTTTAAGTTGAGGTGGTTCACCGTGCAATTAATATATACAGGCAGTTTTTATAGGTATGTGATACATTGCCAGGTAAGCTGATTTCACACTGCTTGCAAATTTGCAGGTTCTGTACCTATACGTTTCTGAAAATACAGTCTAGTGATGACACCAGTTAAATGGTTAGTAGTCAAGCAGAGTAGCAGCATTGCTAGTCATGATATGCTTTGTAACAAGTATTCAACTACAGAAAAACACTTTATGTGAGAGCTGTAGACATTTCATTCACGAGGCAGTGAAAAAACTTAGCAAAGGATGAGGTGCTATTTCTCATCAACTTTAAAAATAATTGAGAGCAATAAGACCTCTCTTGGGTGGTATGGAATCCAAACTCCTGATGTCGTACAAGGACCCCCAAGTACCTGTCATGGTGAAAATTAAACTGGACCACCAGGCAGGGTGGGCGCGGTAGTTTTCATTCTTAATGTACACTTCCTGAAATACTCAGCAAAGGTCTTGCGAAGATTCGATTTGTAGCATCACTGTCATCCAGTCTCTCCCTTAGGAATTCATCGCCTTTGGGATCAGCAACATCTTCTCCGGATTCTTCTCCTGTTTTGTGGCCACCACTGCTCTGTCTCGCACGGCAGTCCAGGAGAGCACTGGAGGAAAGACACAGGTAGGAACCACAGCCTTGTGATATCCATCTCAGAGAACAAGCCTGAGGAATGGCACCCCGGGAAGGCTAACACAGAACTGAGCAGGACAATTCGCCTTGGGGACTTGTGCTTCCTAATCTGATTCATCTCAGGCCAGTTCCTCTCATTCCACTCCCTCACCTAAAATCTCTTTAAAAATAACATTTATGGTATTTTGATACAGCGATTCTCAAATCTCTTTGTGTCAGTGCTCACCTGGAATGTAGCTACACTTACCTGCTTCTCTATGGTCAATAACAACTGTCAGGAAACAGTAATGAAGGATGCTGATTTTTGTTAATTTGTTCCCCGGGGGAGAGGGCCTAGTAAAAGTGCTTCATGGCTTTGGGGCCTGTTCTGTTTTCAGGAAAGTAAAAATCTTTATTGACATTTCCTTTACAAGGACCAGGAACTGCCTCCAGGGGCTTTTGGTCCCATAGAACAACAGTTTGCTGGCCAGAAATATTTTTGTTGTAAGATTTTTGGCATTTCTTCCTAAGATTTAAGTTCTTCAAGTTCTAAATGTGGGTTTAACCTTATCTTTTAAATGTGGTTTGTAGTTGTTGCCTTTACAAGGTGACCAAATAGCCAGCATCCCAGTTAATCTCTGGATAATCCCTCCTTGAGCGTTCAGAAAGCTCAGGGGCCATACTCAAAGGCAACTCTTTCCAGCAGGATACTGTCAGAGAGGCCACACCAAGCAGATGGGCACAAAGGACTGACTCAGAAATTGTGCTTCTGTCTCTTACACCTTGAGGGTCTTATCTTCCCCAGACTCAGAAAAAAAATATTATTTAGGAGTAAGAGGTGCATTGAGACGACAAAGAACAACAAACCCAAACTACACAGTGCAATACACACACACACACACACACACACACTCTCTCTCTCTCTCTCTCTCTCTCTCTCTCACACACACACACACACACACACACAGTCTTCAAATGGATTTTATTAAGGCAGAGACACTTAAAAAATAAATATAAGTTGGGCACAGTGGCTCACGCTTGTAATCCCAGCACTTTGGGAGGCTGAGGTGGGCAAATCACTTGAGGTCAGGAGTTCGAGACTAACCTGGCCAACATGGTGAAACCCCTTCTCTACTAAAAATATAAAAATTAGCCAGGCATGGTGGTAGCCAGGATGCCTGTAATCCCAGCTACTTGGGAGGCTGAGGCAGGAGAATTGCTTGAACCTAGGAGGTAGAGGTTGCAGTGAGCCAAGATTGTGCCATTGCACTCCAGCCTGGGTGACAAGAGCAAGACTCTGTCTCAAGAAAAGAAGAAACACACAAACACACACACACACACACACACACACACACAAGAGAATAACTGAGAAAACTAATGACTCCAACAGTGACTTGCCCAGGGAGAGCTTTAGTTGTCCCAATATGCATGTGATGCGCCTTGCCTATTTATAATGGATCTTGTGACAGGCTTGGAAAAATTGGCCTCTTCCAGTTTTCTGGCTGCTTTTCAACAAAAAAATTTATTTTCAGAATTTTTCTTAATTTTTTTTTTTGCAAATGTTTCCAGCTCTGATGGAGCAGGTAAAATTATGCGGCTCATATTCAGGGGCATAGCCAGAGACCTGTGGTCAAGGGGAAGAGGTCAGAGCCAATTTCCAAAGCTGGGTGCATTTCAGGCTGTAGCTGTCAGCAGCAGGAGTTTCTGCCACTTTCATTTGAGATGGAGCATTGACAGGCTCTCCAGAGCACATGGTCTTCACCTGGTGCAGGCAAATCTCAGACTGCTGATGTCCATTCTCCGGATGTTACCTCCAGGCTCAAATGAGGCATAGGGTGGCTGTTCCAGTAAGAATGCCCATGTAAAGTGACCTCCTTGGCAGAGGGTTTGGGGGATAATAATGTTCTGGTAACCTAATATCCCCTGCCACACACTGGCTTGTATTATATTTAGGAAGGAAGGATGCCAGTATTTCAGGATTAAAGAATGAAACAAGTGAAGAAATGGCTTGATATTTAATTGCTGAAATCTATACTAAATTCTGGGGTTAAAAGTCTAAGTGCCTGAACTGCAATCCAGGGACTCATGGAGAAATAAACTGGCAGGTCTTCTCTTGTGTGGCTTCTCCTGTTTTCTCTTATGTTGGAACTTCAGTTTCAGTAACTATACAATGGGAATGATGACTGCATCCATCTCATAGGGATAGTGTGAGGACTACAGAAGAAAATGTAAAGTCTTAGCACATACTTGTAGATGCTCACTGTTTCACTCCTCTAGGTAAGAATAGCATCTATGATACGTATATTGTGCCTGGCACATAAGAAGCACCTGGCATATATCTGGCAAATGAGTGAATGGAAGAATGAGTATTGGTGGACATGAACTTTTTTTTTTTTTTTTTTTTTTTTTTTTTTTTTTTTAGCAAGTCTACAGATTGTAGAAGAATTAAACATTGCAACCTTTTCTTTCTCTCACCCCCATCTGACTCCTACTGACTCATGGATAAGTAATTCTGATTACAAATGACTCTTTAGCTCTGATTGCCCCTCTCTTGACAGAACAGCTTTTTAGTAACTAAATCTGCTTGTAGATACAAAGTCTACAGAATTTCTCACAAACAAGCCTTATCAAGTAAGTACAAATAATTGATCACTCACCGATTTTAATATAGTGGTCAAAATTAGCCTCGGCCCCCCCATAATTGGAAGCTAATTATGACATCTACTTGGCAAGTAGGTGGCCCTTCTCCTGGCATGAGGTTGGCAGCTGACTGTGGTCCTTGTTCCCAAATCTCCGTTTCTTTCTCCGGTTTACAGAGCTCTGTATCCACAGTGAGATAGATGCAAGCGGCTCCGTAAATACTGGTTATATAATTGCATGCAAGGAAGGAAGGATGGAAATCAAAAAATGGAAGGAAGGAGAAGGGAGAGGAAGGGAAGGGATATGAAGGAAAAGCGAAGAGAAGGGAGGGAAGAAGGACATCAGCTTCTCCACTTAGTCAGGAGAGGGGAAAGAGCGCCACAGTACTGGGAATCCAGGGTGGGAATAGAGCATAGAAAAGGGAGCCAGACATACAAAGCCCATCTCTTAGTACCTCCTACACATCATATTGCCTCAGGCTGCCCAGCTATCATCTAAATATAAACGATCAATTTGCCAGGTGGAGCCAATGCTTTCTAATTACGTTTTCTAATTTTCTGTTTCTATTTTCTGTGTCTGTCTGTCTCCCTTAACTCGGACTTCTTGCACTAGGCAGTACTCGTACTCACAAGTCTTCCCTGTCGCTTCCTCTCTGATTGCTTTGCTTTTAGTTGCCTGTCTCCTTTTCTTCTTTGTTTCAGACCTTCTAATCTTCACCTCGGCTCTGCCCCAGCCGTCTCAACACAGAATTCATTGGTCATCTAATCAAACCAGAGAATAGTCCCCACCCCCTCAGCCTCTTTCCTATTTACGGATCATAGGAGAGCTATTTTTGCCACTGAAGGTAAAGTTTCGGAAGCTTCCTTTTACCCCTGCTATTGCCCCATCACTTTGTAGCCACTGTTTCAGGCTGCCTTGGGGCAAAGCTCTGAGCCTGCCTCTGTGGAACTGTCGAGGAAGCAGGAGACACAATCCCACCTCTCAATGTGTCGATGTGGCATTCTGAATTTGCAATAGGATGAGTAAATTTATTTTATCTGAGACTTTAATGCGACCATGTGCTACAAGTACGAAGTGTTATCGGAATGGCTATTATAGCTGCACCTTCAATAATGCAGAAGAATCAGCTATGTGCCATAAAAATATATTTCCCAAGAATATGACAATGATCTCTGTTGTTGGGAAAATGGTGGGTAGACCATGTTTCCTGCCATGGCAAATAACTATAAGGTTGGCCTCCTGAGTGGACACTGAAACTGCAGCTGTGTAGTATCTCCAAACAAAATCCGTGTCAAACTGGCTTTACTTTCATGGATCAGTCTCCATATTTTCTTTAGCTTCTCTGCCATAGCATATTTAGATGCCGTTTTTGTTCAGCTTTGTAGTTTGAGCAAATGATTCTCATTTTTCTCAACAGTATTGCACAGAGGTGGGGCAGGGAAGTATGAAGTGTGTCTGTGAACAGGCTGTCTCATACACACATCCAGTGAGCTGGAAGACACTAGGGAGAAGGAGGAATTCTTTTCATGGGAGGTGTGTGTTTTCCAGGTTGCTGGCATCATCTCTGCTGGGATTGTGATGATCGCCATTGTTGCCCTGGGGAAGCTTCTGGAACCCTTGCAGAAGGTATAACCCTGCTCCTCTGCATACCAATTGCATAATTTCCCTTCACTACTCTGCTACCAGAGAAAATAACAGATTTAAAAATCATCACATGGAAAACCATTCCCTGAATAACACAGCCTTCTCTGTCTCTCTTGGCAGTCGGTCTTGGCAGCTGTTGTAATCGCCAACCTGAAAGGGATGTTTATGCAGGTGTGTGACGTTCCTCGTCTGTGGAGGCAGAATAAGACTGATGCTGTAAGTTGCCTACCAGCCATTTTTATCTGAAATAAGATTTGGTTCTTAAATGCTTCCTGCCACATCCCTATATTCTCCCATCCCCTAAGTCTTACTTGCACTTTGGGAACCCCAGAGGAGAAATTAGAATTGTGTGGATAAATCAAAGCCATGAAGTCTTCCATGCGAACTGCATTTTGTTCCTGTTATCTCTGGGAAGGTCAGTTTCCAGCAAGAATCCCATATGAGGCTCATTCATACACCTTTGGCCTTCTAAATGCAAAAAAAAAAAAAATTTTAACACCCTAGTTTAGAAGGACAAACAACATAAAAAAATAATGCAAAAATAAAATACAAAATGTAAAAGCCCATGCTGACTTTAACTCTGACTAACATAACCTTCACAGCTATTCTGAGAAACTAAAAATCAGAAGCTAAATCCTTCAGAGTTCCACTCTAATTTAAACCATAAAAAGAATGAGAAGACTTCCTACATATTGATATGGAAAATTTTCCAAGACAAATCGTTAAGTGAAAAAGAGACCAGAATAGAAATGCTGGGGAAAAGCACAGACACAGGCAGAAATAAAAGCGGATACACGGAGGGAGGGAGGTTGGGAATGGGTGGAGAAGGGGAGGGTTGTGAACAAGAGTTTGTCCCTTTTTAATGATAATTCCCTTCTGAACCATGCAAATATATTAGCTGTTCAAAAATTTAGAAATAAATAAAATGGGACAGTTGGTCTTAATTGGGAAGTCCAGTTTCTACAGTCACATAAATATGAAATGAATGAAGTAACAATATTTTTTAAAAGCTGTGATTTGGCCAGGCACAGTGGCTCAGGCCTGTAATCCCAGCACTTTGCGAGGCAGGAGGATCACTTGAGTAAAGGAATTTGAGACCAGCCTGGGTAACACAATGAGACCTTGTCTCTACTACAAATAAAAAATAAAAAATTAGCCAGGTGTGGTATGTACCTGTGGGTAATCCCAGCAACTCGGGAGACTGTGGCAGGAGGATCACTTGAGCCCAGAAGGTGGAGGCTGCAGTGAGCTATGATGGTGCCACTGCATTCCAGCCTGGGCAACTGAGAATGTGACCCTGTCTCAAAAGAAAAAAAAAGGTGTAATTTGTTTGTGGATAATTGATCTTATTTGTACAGGTAGTTATCACATTATGGTACCTGATACATTAATATAATCCTTTTCATTTCTATTTTTTCTCTAGGTTATCTGGGTATTTACATGTATAGTGTCCATCATTCTGGGGCTGGATCTTGGTTTACTAGCTGGCCTTATATTTGGACTATTGACTGTCGTCCTGAGAGTTCAGTTGTGAGTAACGTAAAACCCAGATTTCCTATAAAAAGAACAACCCTGATCTTTCTTATGCCATTTTGATTAATATAGTGAAATCACTTTCTTTCATTATAGTTACTGTATATTGAGTGCTTCTATGAATTAAGCATGCAGTGTTTTACAGACATACTTAATGTTCAAAAAAAGCCTATGAATCAGTTTTATTAGTCTCATTCTACAGGTGAGAAAAGAGAAATTCAGAAAGGGTAAGAAGCATCTCTAAGATCCCATAGCTAGTACATGGCAGAGCTAAGATTCGAACCTATGCACCTAGTCACGTGCTCCACTGCTGTGCTCTCCTTTCAGTCATGGTAAGACTGAAAGGTACACAGTTTAGCCAAAGGCTGAGGTGGTTTTGTAGTTTCCTCTTTAAATGAGATGAAGAATGTGAGGCGCTGGGCCCCAGGCTTGGAGCAAGACAGCTGCTATATATTATAGTTCATTTTCTTTTTTTAATGCTAGTAACCAAAAGTTACATAACCCAGAAAGGAGGACTTTAAAATAGCTGATGACAGCCAAAATTCATTCAAATCTGTCATATAACCAATAAGGCGTATAACACAATTATGTGAAGGAAACAATGAGCTCATATGCAGAGTGAAGGCAGCAAAGACATGATTTAAATAATAGAAAACAGCCTGTGAGAGAAGGTGAGTGGCCTGAAGGTGGTTTTGGGTTGGTTTTGTTTTGACTCTAGAGAGGCATTAGTTAAGTGCCCTCCTAAGCCTGGAGGGGAACAATCTCTCCCTCCTCAGTGTCCATGGTCTTTCCAGACTTCTGGCCCCTGCTCTGCCTGTGCTTGGGCCATGAAGGAAGAAGACACCTGGAAAAACATCAGGATGCACGTCGTCAGCTTAGCAGCAGCTCAGGTCTCCTGTTCCACCAGCCAGTTCTTCTTGCCCTCCTTCCCTACTTCGGCTTATTGGTGCCTGCCCAAATGGCTTGTGTTTTCTACCTCAGTACCCTCAAAATGATTGGCCAAGGGCCTGAGAAGGTTTGCAAGCTCCCAAAGTACCCAATTGACTGCTAGGAAACATCTCCGAAAGCCCCCTTAGAAGATGCTGTCTCTTATGTATATGCCTCTGCCTCCGTGTCTATTTTTTCTTGTGTGGGTGCGGTTGGGAAAGAAGGGTTTTACAGAGACGGATTCGCTTATGAACTTTTAAGTTAAAAATCAGCACAACCCAGCAAGCCAGGGAAAAACTAGTGGCACATTTTAGCTGCTAGTTTGATATCTAGGCTTTTAGCCAACGAAAAGCAGTATCCTCCACAGTACTTAATTTCCAGAAATTACCATGCTGATCCAGAGAGCACAATGTTGAAAGTAAACTAAACAGATACTCTTTCTTCAGGAATTGTATTTAGCATGTCTCTAGTCACACATGAAGAATCACGGAATTTATCTGATTGCATCAGGAACAGGAAATCACAGTGTGGTTGATAGGAAAGACTTATTTCTGGTCCTCCCAGTCTCTTATTTCTATAAAAAGGGACGAAGTCACAAAGAAGAGCCAGGCACTGGAAGACCCAGGGGTTAAGACAGAGGCTGTGCTGCCCTTTACCTCCAGGCCTTTTCTTATTTCTCTTAACCCCCGTTTACTTAACAATACAAATCAGCATAATACTGATGACCTTTCAGGGTTATGGCAGGGCTTAAATAAGATTTCACATGCGTGAAAGCTCTTTGCTTATCCTATAACGTGTGGTGCACGTGCAAGCATGAGGCTCATTATTTCTCTCAGCCATCAGAAGAGAGGCACAGTGTCTCCCCTCCCCTGCCGATTCCACACAAACACCAGCTGTTCATTTCAGAGTTAGCTACAGGAAAATGTCATCGGCAAGAAAGACAGAGTCCAAAACACCAGAATGATGCGCTCTTTAGTGGCTGTTGTTTTTAACTTTTTATTCCAAAATGTGGCTGTTCCAAAAAATCTTGACCTTGATTTTTTTTCTTCTAGTCCTTCTTGGAATGGCCTTGGAAGCATCCCTAGCACAGATATCTACAAAAGTACCAAGAATTACAAAAACGTAAGTGCCTTTGTGAGACATTTGCTCCACTTGGGTTCACTAGCCTGAAGTTTCAGCAGCTCCACGTTAGGTACAGGGTAGCCAAGGGGAGAAGTGCCTGTTGGGAAAGTCTGTTAGCCCCCAGGGAGTGTCACAAAAACGTTTGATCCAAAGTGCCTTCTGACATCCATGGTTTATATGAATTTTGTCCACGCTAGCTTTTTTGTCTTTTTTTTTAGGTGGAGTCTCACTCTGTCAGCCAAGCTGGAGTGCAGTGGCACGATCTCAGCTCACTGCAACCTCCGCCTCCTGGGTTCAAGTGACTTTCTTGCCTCAGCCTCCTGAGTAGCTGGGATTACAGGCAGGTGCTACCAGCCCTGGCTCACTTTTGTATTTTTAGTAAAGGTGGGGTTTCACCATGTTGCACAAGCTGGTCTGAAACTCCTGAGCCCAAGTGATTTGCCCATATTGGCCTCCCAAAGTGTTGGGATTACAGGCGTGAGCCACCGCACCTGGCCAGCTGAATGTCATTTTGATATAAAACCATTGTAAGGCCAGGCGCGGTGGCTCAAGCCTGTAATCCCAGCACGTTGGGAGGCCGAGGCGGGTGGATCACGAGGTCTAGAGATCGAGACCATCCTGGTCAACATGGTGAAACCCCGTCTCTACTAAAAATACAAAAAATAAGCTGGGCATGGTGGGGCGTGCCTATAATCCCAGCTACTCAGGAGGCTGAGGCAGGAGAATTGCCTGAACCCAGGAGGCGGAGGTTGCGGTGAGCCGAGATCCCGCCATTGCACTCCAGCCTGGGTAACAAGAGCGAAACTTCGTCTCAAAAAAAAAAAAAAAAAAAAAAAAACCATTGTAAGAGGAATTTAAAAATAATAGGCAATTAGGTTATTTCTAGATGTCCAACCAAAATTTTATTTATCTGCTATATAATTCTTATCTTCCGTAAGATTTTTTTTACTGAGTTCTAACGAGATGATCAAGTTCTCTATGACCAAGACCTTACTATTTGACACTTTGCTTTATCCTTGGAATTAGGAGAAATAATATATGACACAGGAAATGAAAAAAAAGGAAATTAAACATCCCATTGATGGGTTTGTGTCACCTGCAAATAAAATTGCTTAGTGATAACCAGGGGAAACAAAGATAAAAAAGCAGAGAAAGTAAATGAAGGAAATACAAAGATAGCAATAATAATAATAATAATAATAATAATGTGAACCCTAGGAAGCTGTAGTCTAATTTTACCTTAACGTTAAAAAAATGTTGGACACTGAACCTGGGATTTCAGTAGCTGCTACTTAATTTATTTCTGTGATCTTTCTGTTATGTTGAGCCAAGTGCCAATAAGAGCTAAGATGATTGAGATTTCTTTGGCTTTGGGGCAGGGAACTCTAAGCTGAGTTAGGGAATTCTGACTTCTAGGCTCCATCTTTGCGAGACTTTGCCCAAGTCATTCAGCCTCTCTGGACCTCAGTTTTCTCATCTGAAGGATCTCGACTAAAATTGCTATTTCCTGAAGGCTAGAAAAGGCTATGATTCTATGATTCATGGGTTCTATTTTGGATGTGGCCATGGTATATCAGGGTGAGGACAGCAGATGATGTCATAGGCCTCAGTTCTGCAAATCCCCTTGGTTTCACTGTGGTTTTTTTTTTTGTTTGTTTGTTTTTTTCTACTTTTAAAGAATCTTAGCAAAATCAGGGGCGTCAGTGGTATGAACTTCAGGCAAATCATGGCACTGTTCTAAGCCTCAGTTTCTTTATCTGAAAATCAGAGAATTGAATAAATTGCTTTCTAAGGCCCTTTCTAACTTTGACCTTCTGTGAGACTATAGAGGTTGAAGAGTTTTTGTAACCTATTACCTCCTAGCTGGGATGAAGCCCCTATTCAAGAAAATTTGAAGAGGCTGGGCACAGTGGCTCACGCCTTGTAATCCCAGCACTTTGGAGGCTGAGGAAGGTGAATCACTTGAGGTCAGAAGTTCAAGACCAGCCTGGCCAATGTGGTGTAACCATCTCTACTAAAAACGCAAAAATTAGCCAGGCGTGGTGGCAGCACCTGTAATCCCAGCTACTTGGGAGGCTGAGGCAGGAGAATAGCTTGAACCCAGGAGCTGGAGGTTGCAGTGAGCCAGGATTATGGCACTGTACTCCAGCCTGGGCAACAGAACAAAACTCCATCAGAAAAAAAAAAAAAAAAAAAAAAAGAAGGAAAGGAAGGAAGGAAAGAGAGAAAGAAAGGAAAAGGAAGAAAAGAAAGAAAGAGAAAGAAAGAAAGAAAGGTAGGTAGGTAGGTAGGTAGGTAGGTTGGGTGCTGCAACCCAGCTCCTCTGAGCAACTGTAACCTGGCTTCTTGCTCAATAGCTAGAAATATAATTAAATACCTGAGGCCTGAAATTATTTAACCTCAGACAATTTCTTTTAATGCCAGATTGAAGAACCTCAAGGAGTGAAGATTCTTAGATTTTCTAGTCCTATTTTCTATGGCAATGTCGATGGTTTTAAAAAATGTATCAAGTCCACAGTAAGTATTTTATCCCTAGAAATTTGTTTTCTAACCTCTTTTGAGACTTCATTCATTCTACAGGGATTTATTGGGCTCCAACCAGGAATAGGCCCTAGACCTTCTTCCCTTTGTGTAGGGCAATGAGAATTAAAATATAACATCCTTGCCTTCAAATAATTTACAATCTATTTGGGGATTTTAAAAAACACATATGTTAAAATTCAGGTAGCAATAACTATGCCAGACAAAAAATTAGAGATGTTTCTAGGCAGAATTTCAGTAAGTTCCAAGTAAGGAGTATAGACAGTTGAGAGTTCATAGAAGGAAGAGACCCAGGTTAGTTGGACTAACGGGCTTTGTGTGGCAGTTAGCGGAGGGAAAGAAATCATGTCAAGTGCTTGAAAACTGTATGAGCTGAGAGACGGTGGAAATATGTATTGGAGATAGGGTTGCCCAGTTGCAGCAAAGGGTAAAAAATACTAGTGAAATAAATAAGTAGAAAATTCTGGTACTGAATGTCATGCTATGCTTTGAACTTGGAGTTTGCCTCTAAATCAGTGTTTTTCTAAGTGAGTTTCTAAGTTTTCTAAGTGTTTTTCTAAGTGAGTTGCAGGGCAAACTGATTCAGAGGAATGTTCACAGAGGAATGTTCACAGTATATATAACAAAAGGGCTCTGTGATACCAAGGGAATTTGGAAAACACAGACTTAAAATGAAAGAGGTTTTTTGTTTTTTGTTTTTTTCTGTTTTGTTTTTTACTGTCTTCCCTGAGCTTCTGGGTAGGACTAGGGTAGCCTGGCAGTAGAGGGAGATCTACTCCATTGGGCCTTATGATTTCTTTTTTGGCAGGCTACCTCAAGGAATTATACCCTTTGAGAAATAGCCTTTCCAGGTAACAGTTGCCATTAGTGAACCTTAGATGCCAGGCATTTTAAGTAACTTGACATTTATTTCCAAAGGTTGGATTTGATGCCATTAGAGTATATAATAAGAGGCTGAAAGCACTGAGGAAAATACAGAAACTCATAAAAAATGGACAATTAAGAGCAACAAAGGTGAGACACCATCTTTCTTTTCCCCCTTAAATTCTTTTCTTTCCCTGATGAGAGCAGGTCTAAAATTAAATGTATCCCCTTTAGTACCTGGATGTGTATGAACAAATGATATGTATGTATCAAAGAAAAACGGAGCTATTCTTGTAGGCAAGAGGGAATGGAAGGGAATGAATAAAATCAGCAGCACTGCCTGGAAACATGGGATGCGATTTTTTTCCCCACCATGGACAGCATCTGAATTATTTTTATACTTTATTCTTACTGAAAGCAACAAAGTGAGTGCAAATTCAATGCCAGAAAACTACTTGCCATAGAAGGCAGTAAGTCCATAAAGTTTTGGAGCTATTAACTTGTACTCAGACTCTCTGGCCAATGGCAAAGTTTCGTAATCTTCCAGAAATCAAAAGTTTCCTGGCTCCTCTGTTCTCCCACTTTTCTTCCTAGACAATGTCAAAGTTTGGGCTGAGGTGAAACTCATCCTTAAGAAGTCATCTGGGCCGGGCACGGTGGCTCACACCTATAATCCCAGCACTTTGGGAGGCTGAGGCGGGTGGATCACAAGGTCAAAAGATCGAGACCATCCTGGTCAACATGGTGAAACCCCGTCTCTACTAAAAATACAAATCATTAGCTGGGCATGGTGTTGTGTGCCTGTAATCCCAGCTACTCAGGAGGCTGAGGCAGGAGAATTGCCTGAACCCAGGAGGCGGAGGTTGCGGTGAGCCGAAATTGTGCCATTGCACTCCAGCCTGGGTAACAAGAGCGAAACTCCATCACACACAAAAAAGAATTCATCTGGCTGGGCGCAGTGGCTCACGCCTGTAATCCAAGCACTTTGGAGGCCAAGGCGGGTGGATCACCTGAGGTCAGGAGTTCAAGACCAGCCTGACCAACATGGTGAAACCCCGTCTTAAAATAAATAAATAAATAATAAAAAATAAAAATAAATAAATAAAAAAAAAAGAATTCATCTACTTGATGTTTTGCTTACCAAGGAACAGTGTGTAGGACTTTTGAATAATTCAATATGCATGGCTGAAAGATAGTTCAAATCTTTGACAGTGAAGTTAACAGTGTTTTCATTGTTTAGAATGGCATTGTAAGTGATGCTGGTTCAACAAATAATGCTTTTGAGCCTGATGAAGATATTGAAGATCCGGAGGAACTCGATATCCCAACCAAGGAAATAGAGATTCAAGTGGATTGGAACTCTGAGCTTCCAGTCAAAGTGAATGTTCCCAAAGTGCCAATCCATAGCCTCGTGCTTGATTGTGGAGCTATCTCTTTCCTGGATATTGTTGGAGTGAAGTCACTGCGCGTGGTAAGGTTCTGGTTTTCTGAATTATATATTTGGAGCTTTGGCTATAGTAAAATGATATGGGTTGTCCAGTTTTGCAACAGGACAAATGCATGCGCTTTGTAATTTTTCTAGGTGAATGCCTTTGTAAAAAAAAAAAAAAAAAAAAAAGTGTAATATGGTAGTCTGGCCACCACACTAGCTTCACCACTTACTAGGAGTATGACCCTGGGCAAGTTGCTTAATCTGTCTATATCTTAGTTTCTTCAACTGTAATATGGAGGTAATGGTGGTATCTACCTTCATAGGTTGTTACAAGGATTAAATAAACTAATAGATAAAAGGCCTTTAGAAGAGTATCTGGTTCAGGCTGGGCATGGTGGCTCACTCCTGTAATCTCAGCACTTTGGGAGGCTGAGGTGGGTGGATCATGAGGTCAGGAGTTCAAGATCAGCTTTGCCGATATGGTGAAACCTGTCTCTACTAAAAATACAAAATTAGCTGGGCGTGGTGGTGCATGCCTGTAGTCCCAGCTGATTGGGAGGCAGAAGAATTATGTGAACCTGGGAGGTGGAGGTTGCAGTCAGCTGAGATTGCACCACTGTACTCCAGCCTGGGCAACAGAGCAAGACTCTGTCTCACTCAATCAGTCAATCAATAGAAGGAGAGTATCTGGTTCATAGATACTCCTCAGCAAATTCACATTTATTATGTTTTATCTTTCGGAGTACAGGGAATATAAAAAGAAAGAAAATGGGCAAACGTTTGTTAAGTATTACATTTCTATTTGCTATGTTAATAGCAACAGGATAAGGAATACCAGGTACATGGTAGGACTGGAAAAGCCAGGCATTATTAAGAGGTTAGAGTAGGAAGCAGGTCAGGCATCTGGAAGGTCAAAGCAAGAGTTGAGAATTATGCAGGATAGAAACGTTAGTGATATCAGAAACCAGTTATGCAAGCTGAAGTTCATTAATTCTTTCAGCAAATAGATGTGAAATGCCTAATAAGTGCTAAGCACTCTGCCAGGCAAAAGAGATTAGTGATGAAGTGAACACAGTTTCTACCTATATGGACTTAGCGGTCTGGAGGAGAAGGCAAATATTAAGTCATCTTACAAATAAAAACTGTAATAAATACTACAAAGAAGATGAATAGGACATCACCTGAAGCACCAAGTTTAGGTGAAGTTTCAGGTAGCTATCAAGAGGGTCAGGCAGAAAAGTAAGCAGGTTCAAACCACCAACAATCAGATGTAATACTATAAACCTGACTCCTAACTGAGGCTCAGCTTAGCTAGGGCTTCTTCACTACCTCCGTAAGCACAGGAAATGATTCCAGGATGTGGGTACTAGGCAGGTAAGGTAGAGAAGTGATTATGCTTGGCAAAAGAGTATGAGAATATGCTGACAGGTTCTGTTCTGATTCTCTTAGCAGATTTTGTTATTGGCTCATTTGAAAACACTCTTGTTCTTTGTTGTACATTTCACTCTAAGCACTGGCTGAGATCCATTGTAGATTGTATTGGCCAGAGGGTTTACTGAATTACTTCTAGGGAGAGTCTTAACATATTTAATGCCAGAATATTTCCCAAACAACAAATATTTACTTTCAAATATTACAATGACAGTTAAGAAAACTAAAGAAGAATTCAAACTATATACTTGAACAGAGGTCTTGATTTGTTTTCCACCACAATTTTCAAATTCTCTTTTATTATTGACCATGTCTTGACTTTTTTTTTTTTTTTTTTTTTTTTTTTTTTTTTTTTTTTTTTTTTTTTGAGACGGAGTTTCGCTCTTGTTACCCAGGCTGGAGTGCAATGGCGCGATCTTGGCTCACCACAGCCTCCGCCTCCTGGGTTCAAGCAATTCTCCTGCCTCAGCCTCCCTAGTAGCTGGGACTACAGGCATGCACCACACACCCGGCTAATTTTGTATTTTTAGTAGAGACGAGGTTTCTCCATGTTGGTCAGGCTGATCTCAAATTCCTGACTGCAGGTGATCCGCCTGCCTCGGACTCCCAAGTACTGGGATTACAGGCATGAGCCACCACACCTGGCCTAACAGGGGCTATATTAAGAAGCCTCTTGAACTCTCTTCTTTCTACAAATGTTCATTTAGCACTTCCATGCTATCAAATGCTGTGCTATTGAGTGCTGGATGTTGCCATCTCTTGAGCTATAATCCTATTTGTACCATTACTGTAGGTTGAAAACCTCCATGGTTTTGAAATAATAACCTTTCCTTAAAGTCCTGATTAACCATGAAAGTAATTATGTTTCTCCTAAGCAAGTAATGGAATGCTACTGAATTATGGGTAGATAGAGTTATTCATTGTTACAAACTCTGCTTTTTTATTTTTAGATTGTCAAAGAATTCCAAAGAATTGATGTGAATGTGTACTTTGCATCGCTTCAAGGTAAATACATATATCTATACATATATCTACCTGTAAGACTTTCCCCTAACCTCTTTCTCCTACCTGGAACTGTGGCCACATTATGTCTGAAGGCCTTTAGTTTTTCTTTTAAAGATCTCCGTTGTCATTATTTGCAATTCTAAAATCTAGCAATGCTTCATTCGATAAAATAGAATAAGTGTTTTAATGTACTAAGTGGAAGAGGTCGGTTTTATAGACAGTAAAGGTTAAAGGAAGCAAAAGCAAACAACAAGGGGTATATTAGTCCTTTCAAAGTTACTTTTCTTGTAAGTAAGGCACAGCGAGACAGAACAATAGGAGAATAATGGATTAGTTAACATGAGGTCATGTCAGGATACTTTTTAATGTAAGGATTACTGCAGAGGACACTTCATTATTATGCCAACTGGAAATTTAAACTAGCCTGTTTTGGGGAATTTGCTGTTACCTCTCTTTCCTGATTTCTTCAAAGTTCAGATAACAACTTAGTTTAGGTTTGATGACTTGAAACTTTAGCACGAATGACTCCATTTTGATTTTTAGTCTTGCCAGTTGGGGCCTAGTGCAGGAGCTGAGTCTAAAACAATGGCCTTTTATTTTTATTTTTATTTTTTATTTTACTATGTGCCTGTGCTTTGCATGACCCCAGGATGGGCACAGCTGCTTGGTCCCCAAGCCACTGAAGGTTGCTTTACTTCTTTGTTCCGGCTGCTAGGAGCCACAAAGCTCTGGGTGGGGCAAAGCTCAAGGGGAGTAAAACAATAACAATGGCCATTCCCATTTTTAATGGATGATGTCACCCCTTTTGATCAGGCTGTCACCTAGGTGAGAGTGAACAAAATGCAGGAGATCGGCGCTACTCTGCTACCATCATTTTGGGTTTCTGGTCTCAGGAAGTCATGTATAGTTACGGTGCCCTCCTCATTATCATGCATTTCTCTGAGTTTTTGTTGTTTCAGAGAGAGACCATTTGATGCCTGACAGATGGCTATAATGGAAACATCTAAAACTTTGCGAGGGTATAATGTACAGGAAGACTGCTATTATGACTATCAGGAAGATAACACCAAGGGTTTCTAGTATGCTCCTTAGCTAGGGTTCCCATGAACCAAACCAAATAAAACTGCATAGCCAGACAAGGAGTCTACCTGTTTTAACCAACAAGTCTTTATAGAACCTGATATATGTACATATGTGCAACAAGAAATGTAACCAACAGCACAGAATCTTCCTTGTTAAGTTAGCAGGTAACCTAGCATTCCATGACTGGTTTAAATTAAAGCAGAAAGTGTAAGTTACCCAAAGAAGTTACTGGCTGTGAAATTTTAACTACAGCAGTATCCTGCCAAGTGAAAGAGGTAGGCACAAGTAAGGGAAAATTAAAAGGAATAAGAATCTTATGATAGGGAGTCTTGCTCTGACAGTCTTGGAGCTGCTACAGCATGAAGTTGGCAACTTCTTGTTTTGGTTTGCAGTTTTATTGTCTCTAGTTATGGCATCCAGCGTTCTGATGAACCCTCTGTGTGGCCCACACTTTAAGCATGAGATTCATCTCTTGAAATGTGTGCTGAGTTGTTCAGCTTCAGCTTATAGAGCTTCAGGAACTGAGTAGTTCTTGGTCTTCATTGGAGTGTTGTAGCCAGATAGTAGTGAAAGCTAAAAGAATTAAGAAGCCAGTTCATTCTACAGGTAGACAGTACAAACTCGTAAACATTGAACAGCGCTACAATTTAAGAACAGTTGCACTATGCTTTTCTTTTGAACCATATTTTTTTTCAGTAGTCACCTCTATTTCTATCAAAGACAATCATAGTTAGACCAATTTGTTTACAAAGTAAGTTTATTCTCAAACTTGGCCCAATTGATTATTTACACAGTATAGCAAGAATAACTACATGGGTGACTCCTTTTAAATTTGCTTTGCCAAGCCAGGTGAGGTGACGCATGCCTGTATTCCCAGCTACTTGGGAGGACAAGGTGGGAGGATGGCTTAAGCCCGGGAATTCAAGGCTACAGTGCACTATGACTGTGCCTGTGAGTGGCCACTGCACTGTAGCCTGGGCAGCACAGTGAGACCGTGTCTCTAAAACATAATTGCTTTGCTAGAAATTTTGACAAGGCATCTCAGATTGGACTTCTTAAAACTTCTTGATGCTATGAAGTCAAACCAGGGCAGACATTAGACTTTGCCTGATGTATCTAATATCTTGAAGTTACTGGGCCTCCCAGTAAGGGACAACTTTTTATTTACTCACTATATGGTTAGGAGTCCTTAAAGCCAGGAATTCTGTGTACATTTTCAAATATGATATTCTAGTCAAAGCCTTGATAACATAACCAGTGTTTTCCAATTTTATTCTATTAAAAGGAATAGATTCTTATTGAACTTTTATGTAAATAATCATATTGCTGTAAAAACAAGAATACTCATGAAGAGTTTCCAGATTCTGGAAGGATCAGGTGGAGAGGAAAAGCAAATGTTTCTATTTTTGTTTATGAAAGTTTGCTTAACCAGGGTGGGTGTGCTTGCTCACGTCTGTAATCCCAGCATTTTGGGAGGCCAAGGCAGGTAGATTGCTTTGAGCTCAGAGTTCGAGACCAGCCTGGCAACATGGCGAAACCCACTACAAAAAATACAAGAAATTAACTGGGCTTGGAGGCCGAAGCTAGAAAATCACCTGAGCCAGGTAAGTGGAGGTTGCAGTGAGCCCAGATGGCGCCACTGCACTCCAACCTGGGTGACAGAGACCCTGTCTCAAAAAAAAAAAAAAAAAAGAAAGAAAGAAAGAAAAAGTATGCTTAATCAAATGGCTGTAAACTACAGATAGCTTTAAAAAACTTCTTTTCTGTAAATCTGGAAAACAAACGTTAAAAGAACCAGCAATGTTTCAAATAAAAAAGCCATAAAACCCATAATTCTTCTTCATCAGTACATGTAATTAATTCTTGCTCTGTTTGATCTTGGCTGGCAGATTAAGTTCATCCAATGGTATAAATTCAAAGTTATTAGAAATCTGTATTTGTCAGAGTTCTTTTCATTCTTCCCATATAACTCTTTGAAGTCACAGCACTTTAGAATTATAATGGCTTACACAGAGCTTTCAGAAAAAGTACCAGAACAAAACAACTAACTGTGGACATCAGGACTTACAGTAGGTATACTTTAAAGATCTGATGAGAGTTACCCAATTGACCAGGATATTTGGTTATTTCTGTGGCACACAACAACTTAAAATAACCAGAATGGCCGGGCATAGTGGCTCACGCCTGTACTCCAAGCACTTTGGAGGCTAAGGTGGGCAGATCACCTGAGGTCAGGAGTTCAAGACCAGCCTGACCAACATGGTGAAGCCCCATCTTAAAAAATAATAATAATAAGTAAATAAAAATAAAATAAAATAACCAAAATTATGACTGTAGCATCTATATCAAGATATATCACATTTCTAGGAATGTTATATAATTTTGGAACATATTAATAATGTACCTATATAAATACAGCTCAAAGAATGTTAAACATCATTTCTTAATTTAACAATGCTTCCCATATGATTTAACATATCAGATAAGGCCAGTTGGGTTAACATCTATCTCTCTTTCACAGATTCTTTGATAAATTCCAGGGTCCTCTGGAACATCCCACAGTTAGTTCAAGGTCAAAAAGACTTAATTTTGATTTTTGAGAAGTTTCTCAAATCCCAAAGGTTTAAAACATTTGATCAAAATAGGATCACAGGTCAAAAAATAGGATCAAAGTGACAAAAGAGTTCAAAGGCTCAAAGCACAACAAAAGTTACCTTGATGAAACATGAAATCTCTGTTTTCTAGGCCAGTTATCTAGAAGATAAAGAAAAACATCTCACAATTTTCTATTAAGAGAAAACCAATGCTCTGAGAAAACTCTATTGTTTCAACTCATGGGCCCAAACTTTAGCCTTGCATCAGTTTAATATTTTTGCTTTAATACTAATGCTCAATTTTTAGAAAAACTTACAAATAATTCCCTTCTAATTTTAGCTAACTTGATCCATAATTTTTTCATGATGTTTATCTTCTACAAACTTTCTACAATTTGCTTAAACCTTCATTTTGTCTGATGTTTCCTTTTTTAAAATTGGCATTATACCTTAGGACAAAGATTTACTTTTTTTTTCTCCTTATCATTTGACCATATAAAGTTCTGTCCTATACAAAAGAAAAAATTACTCTCTTTTCAATTTTCTTTTTTCTTCGTACTTGAAAATTTCCCCCACATCTTTCCTACCTACTTGTTCCTTTCTGCCTTGTTTTGATTTTCTTCCTAAGTCCACATTTAGAAACAGCCTTTGCATAACCTCCAATTGCCAAGCTAGAGTTAAGATTTAAATAAATAAATAGGCTGGGCATGGTGGTTCACATCTGTAATCCCAGCACTTTGGGAGGCAGAGGTCAGAGGATGACTTGAGGTCAGGAGTTGGAGACCAACCTGAGCAACATGGCGAGATCCTGCCTTTATTCATAAATATTTTTTTAAATGAAAAAGTGTAAAAACTCTGAGAACATTTTGGAATCCAGAAAGATATTACTTCCAATTTGTGCCACAGAGCTGGTAATGTATGGAAATGTGTGTCTTGACAGTGGTGGGGGGGATACTGACAATGGGGGGATATTGTTATGAGGATCCTGAGCAGAGCTGAAGATGACTTAGATTCCTTAGAACAAGAGGATTCTCAAGAGTGTGAGTCTCTGTGTCTGCATGTGAATGTATGTGTGTAGGAAAATGCTAATGCTTAGGCTGAGTTCTCTAGCAGCAGAGCCCAAGATAAGGCTTCTTGTACAAGTGATTTATTGAGAGTACACCCGAGGAAATTTATGAAGCAGTGAGAAGAGCAGGATGAGGAAGGGGAAGAAGCCAGTCAAAGACATGGTTTTTGAAGTCCAGCGTAGATCCCCGATTTTACAGGGAGCACCACCATGGGAGAAGCACTACTACCTTGAGGCAAGGGGGCCTGCCTTTTCCCCCCATATCAGTCAGTCAGTGGCTGCAGGCTAGCCATGTGTGGGGATGGAACCTCCCAGTTCTCTTTATTTATTTGAGACAGGAACTTGTACTGTCACCCAGTCTGGAGTACAGTGGCACAATCGTGGCTCACTGCAACCTTGAACTCCTGGGGCTCAAGTGATCCTCCGACCTCAGCCTCCTGAGTACCTGAGACTACAGGTGCACACAACCACACCTGGCTAATCTTTGTAGTTTTTTGTAGAGATGGGGTTTCACCATATTGCCCAGGCTGGTCTTGAACTCCTGGGTTCAAAGTGATCTGCCCTCCTCAGCCTCTCAAAGTGCTGGAATTATAGGCCCAGTCCTCTTTAGATGACACAGCCCCCATTGGGCAAGGGAAAGTCTCCAGAAAAGGGCCCAGCTGTGAAACATTAGCAGCCCGGCCCACAGCAGCAGGAGGATGGATACACTAGCTTGGCCAAAGGGACATGACTGTGCACCAAGACTGACTACGACCAGTTATGGGATAACCATTCAATATGCTACTGGAAAAAAAAAAAAAAAAACTCAGTCAATTCAGAGCTGGGTAACATTTTGGATATGAGAAACAAATAAAATAAAAGGAGGAGCTACAAAAACTCACTATAGGTTGATGCTTAAACATCTATTTTCTTAGCTGGGCACGGTGGGGTGTGTCTGTAGTCCTAGCTACTTGGGAGGGTGAGGTGGGGGGGATCTCTTGAGCATGGGAGGTGGAAGTTGCAGTGAGCAATGTCTGTGCCACTGCACTCCAGCCTAGGCAATAGAGTGAGACTCTGTCTCAAAAACAAACAAAAAATTTCTTTTCCTAGAAATTAACGAAGCATTGTGTCTTTCTTTTCAAGATCATGTGATAGAAAAGTTGGAGCAATGCGGGTTCTTCGATGACAACATTAGAAAGGACACATTCTTTTTGACAGTCCACGATGCTATACTCTATCTGCAGAACCAGGTGAAATCTCAAGGGGGTCAAGATTCCATTTTAGAAGCGGTAAATATTTAACTTTTCTACAGATGTATCTTTCCTAAACGATCACAATTTCTATAAATGGCAGACAGTACACAAATCTAGTGTAGCTGTTGGATTTTAAGCTATCAATATAATTTCTTGGAGCCTTAGTATTTTCATCAGTAAAACGGAAGTAAAATCATTATCCTTGCTGGGTAGATACAAAGACTAAATAAGATAGTTTACAGGAAATAACCTGTTAGTACCCAGTACTTAATAGTTCTACAATGTATAGGTTTATTAATAAAAGTGGGCATTCACTATAATGCCTTTTTAGAATACTGAATCTTGGATCTTCTGTGATCTGTGATTTGTGTACATAAACGCCACTTAAATACCCAGCAATCTGGAAAACCTCAAATTATAAATGTTTTTAAACAGGATCCATCAGGACATAAGTGATCTTTGAAAAAGAAATTTAAAAATCAAGCCACGAATAAGCCTGGGGTTAATTTTTCTCTACAAAATAGAATAGGCCCTGATGGGAGGCCTTATGGCTCAACAGTAGCATGTCTGACTCCAGAATAGGCCTTGATTTCCTATGGGTGTTATTTTGTTAATTTAACTGTCAAATACCCAGAAGAAGTGAGTATTCTGGTCTGGTTCATTGGGCTTGGCCTAATGGTGCATCTGGTGGTACAAGAACCTCATTTCTCACGGCGAATTTAGGAAACTAAAGCTAATACCTCTGAAGATATAATAACAATAATAATTCCAGTGACATAGTGGATATCTTCAATTGCTTCCCATTTTCTAAAAATAGAATAAGTAGATCATTATTGTAGATTGGCAGTTGACTGAAGAATAACTTAGGAAATGATATTATTATTTTTAGCCACTGGTAGTGGAGAGATTATTCGATTTAATGTTCCTTGGCAAAATACTAGTCCTAACTACCAAGCTGTGGCGCTTTAAAACTAAAAAGGAAAAAAAGGAGTAAAGCTACAAATCTAAAGAAAAAAACTGCTTATTGTTGAAAATTCATAAGCCTTTTTTATCCAACTTAAAATTCTCTAACCTATAGGTGACAAGAAAGCAGGATCATATGAAGTATCTTTAAGAGACCCACATTAAAAGTAAAATGGAACGAAGATATCAAGTTCTTTCTCAACATAAAAACAGTTACTTTATTTGTTTATACCCATTCTTATCTAAGATCTTAGGCCATGAATGTTATAAAAACCACTAACGAAAAGTGCACCTACTAGGTTAGTGTCAATCTTGTTTGCAATCAGGGAGGCATTGTGAGTAGCTGGGACAGATTTTTTTTTTATTTTTTTGACCCTGAACAAACAGACTGAGCATTACAGCATGCTTGTATTATATACTCACTGGTTCACTCAAAAGTGGGTTGGACATTCCTGGTGGCCTGTGAGATCAAGAGGCTTATATGTCTGTGTTTTCTCAGGGTCTAGTACAACGCTCTATACTTGGTAGGCAGGTGAGTGATGATAAACGTCACCTGCGGCACTTCCCTTCAAGAAGAGCCCCTCTGTATCACAGATACTGTGACTGCAAGGGCACAACCCTCTTCCTGTCCCTTTATTTAACCATCACAGGACTATCTCAGGACATGCCCAACTTATGGTTAGACTTAGCCTCTACCTTTCCCATGATGTCATACCATTTGCCAGGGACTTAACCCTCTAATTCATTTTTATACTAGCAAAGAGAATAGGACTATGTGTGAGTTGAAAAGTAACTAAGTAGTATTTCGAAATGTCATTGTAGCCTGGATGTGTATTGGGAGTTGCTTTGAAACTGTCCTTTCCCATGCAAAACACAAAGCCAAAATTGTTGTTGCTTTCCTCTGTGTAGAAGGTTAAATTACGTACTACCTCTAAAAGGTAGAACTTTTCTGAATGACCAACTTGGTCCGTCGACATTAGTTTCCATCTCCAATATAATTAATTTTCATCCCATTCGATTTGGGACTGTTTATTGTCATCAGTCACAAGCTCTTCACTGTGCATTCACTGCACACTCAACGCTGTGCCAAGTGCTCTTAGCCATTGAGACATGCGCTATTGACTGCTGAATTATTTAGGCAGAGGGGGTGACTTGTTAAGAGGCATACACGCAAGAGGCTGGGAAGACAGCTGAAAAGGAGTTTAAACAATGGAGAACTGTAAAAGTTCACCTCTGAATGTGTAAAAAAAAAAAAGATAATATGGAAAGGTTTAGTTAGGAAATATAAAAGAACAAGATAGCTGAAGAGGATTCTGAAGGGTACAAAACATAGATGAGAAGCACCAGGAAAGCTTCAAATCATTTTCAGTGGAGCATCAGGTGGGTCGATGCTATTGTGTTTCCACCCTGTGTTCTCTTTTTCAAGATCACTCTTATTCAAGACCGTAAAGATCCCCTTGAATTAATAGAAGCAGAGCTGACTGAAGAAGAACTTGATGTCCAGGATGAGGTATGATCATTTTCTTCTGAAGAAAATAATTTTGATTACATTTTGAATAATTAGCGTGATACAAATAGTGACGATATCTGATTAAGAACTGTCAGGGAAAATAATTCCTCCAAATGCAAAAAAGGTGGCTTCGTAGAAGGGAAAAGTAGAAAATAAGAGTTCTCCCTTGAAGACGTTAAGTACTTAGGGACCTTTTGTCCCAGGCATTTGGGGCTGATCAGTGACTGGCAAGAGCCAACGTGCTGCTCCTGATTTGATACCTGCACCTCTGTATACTGCCCTTCCAGAGACTACGGCCATGGGGTGGGGAAAAGACGAATAGAGGAAATATCTGAGCCAGGAACTTCATAAGCCTCAGGAATAGTATGTGAGAAACAGAAACCCCTATGACCTTCCTTCATATGACTGATATCGGCTTTAAAAACACACTCCCCTACCCTAGACTGATTCTGTGTATTTCAGATGCTCTCGTGGCATCAGACTGTTCCTAGGAAACTTGCCTGAACTTGTAGCATCTGAGTCCATTTTGCAGCTTCACCACTGGGTAAGAGGTGAACACTGAAGGAAGATCCTAAAATTGTAAAAAGTTGAAAGATTTCTTAGAATCAAGCAGTCTAATGTTCTAGCCCATGCAGAAATCCTTCCTACACCATCGTTGGTGAATGTTCATTCAGCTTTTATATGAATATTTCCAGACACTGGTCACTAGCGGCTTCTCAAGGGAGTTTGTTGCCTGGTTGGAAATCTCTAAATGTTAGTTGTGCTTACAAAACTGAATTTGGCCCTTCTGTAGTAACCACCCAGTGAATTGAGATCTGTTTTCCTTAGCAACGCAAACCTTCCCACTGGACAGCCCTTCAAATATGTAAGAATAGTTCTCATGTCTCCAGCAGACTTTCTTCCAGTTGAGACTACCCTAATTCCTTCTGTTCCTCACAAACATCCAGCCAATGCTCCTCTGATCATGATGGGGAGACAAAACCCTAAGTGTGGTCAGGGCAGCACGGAGATTATTCAACGGTGACCTACCTTGATCTCATCGAGATATTCCTATTACTGTAACTTAAAAATGTGTTCCTGCCAGCCAGGTGCAGTGGCTCACGCCTGTAATCCCAGCACTTTGGGAGGCCAAGGTGGGTGGATCATGAGGTCAAGAGATCAAGACCATCCTGGTCAACATGGTGAAACCCCGTCTCTACTAAAAATACAAAAAATTAGCTGGGCATGGTGGCGCGTGCCTGTAATCCCAGCTACTCAGGAGGCTGAGGCAGGAGAATTGCTTGAACCCAGGAGTCAGAGGTTGCAGTGAGCTGAGATCGTGCCATTGCACTCCAGCCTGGGTAACAAGAGCGAAACTTCATCTCAAAAAAAAAAAAAAAAAAAAGTGTTTCCTTTCATAATGGCAATATCAGAAGTTTGGCTTTTATTGAGAAGGGGCCAACTACAGACTCAGGCATTTTCATACAAACTATGGCCTAGAAGAGTTCCCTACTTGTATTTGTTTAATTGGGTTCTGACGCTAACGTAGAACTGCACCTATTTCTGTTAGATTGCATCTTCTTGTTTCTTGTTTACTGACATAGTTTTGTATTATTATTGCTATTTTTTTGAGACGGAGTCTTATTCTGTCACCTGGACTGGAGTTCAGTGGCACAATCTCAGCTCACTGCAACCTCTGCCTCCTGGGTTCAAGAGATTCTCACCCGTGCCTCAGTTTCCCAAGTAGCTGGGATTACAGGCGCTCACTACCACGCCCAGCTAATTTTTCTTTTTCTTTCTTTCTTTTTTTTTTTTTTTTTGTATTTTTAGTAGAGATGAGGTTTTGCCATGCTGGCCAGGCTGATCTCAAACTCCTGACCTCAAGTAATCTACCTCCTCTGCCTCCCAGAGTGCTAGGATTACAAGTGTGAGCCACTGCACTTGCCAGTTTTTGTGTTGAATCTATCATTCAGGATATTGTCTACCCTCCTAACCCCAACTTGGTGTCATAATCAAATCTGATCAGCCTGCCTTCTCTGCCTTTTTCTAGGTCTTGAAAAAATGTTGCATAGAAAAACATTCAACCCCCCGTAGTGAAATCAGGCAGTAATGATGACAGGCAGAGATTTTTGTGGAGGAAAATTGCTTGAGTGAAACTCACAGTACCTGCATCTTGGCCCACCAGCTTAGTGAGCACAGGAAAGTCGTCATTGACCTGAGAAGTCCTTTTAGCTCTAAGACTCTATGGATATAGAGCAGCCTTAGTTTAAGTAAAAACTCATATGTCAAAATTAGAACTTGAGACTGCTATATTATGGGATATTTATTGATTGCCACATAAAAGAATCATTCGGTGAGGGTTTCTATAAATAGTGAAACAATATAGGACACTGGTCCCAAGGGCATGGACTTTAGAGCCAGACAGACCTGGTGCTAGTCCTAATTCTGCTACTTACTGGTTGTGCAGCCCAGGGCAAATTACTTATCCTGTCTTCATTTTCGCATCTTTATGTAAAGTGGTAGTAATACCACAGAGTTGTGAAAATTAAAGGATGCATGTAAAGTAACAAGAGCAGTGCCTTGTTGATAGTAAGTGCTTAATAAATAGTAATCATTGTTCTTAAATAAATCCAATTAAAGTATGATGAATACAGGCCAGGCTCGGTGGTGCAAGCCTGTAATCCCAGCACTTTGGGAGGCCAACGGGGTGGATCGCTTGAGGTCAGGAGTTTGAGACGGGCCTGACCAACATGGTAAAACCCCATCTGCACTAAAAATACAAAAAAAAAAAAAAAATTAGCTGGGCATGGTGGCAGGTACTTGCAATCCCAGCTACTGAGGAGACTGAGGCAGGAGAACTGCTTGAACCCGAGAGGTGTAGGTTGCAATGAGCCGAGATGGTGCCACAGCACTCTAGCCTGGGCAACAGTGAGTGAGATTCCATCTCAAATTTAAAAAAAAATAAGTTTTTACCCTATTTCTATTGTGATGACATACACCTAAGATGAATAACAGTAAGCAACCAATGCTATAAAAGCATTTGTAAAAAAGACAATGCAGACTTAAGGAGAATTTGGTGGTATCAACACTTTGATTTCCCCTTGCTTCCACAGGCTATGCGTACACTTGCAACCTGAAAGCAGGCTCAGGAGGTCTCTATGAGCAAGGACTGCAAGACAAAACGTACCCACTAATGTCCTTCTATGCAAACATTTTCTGCATTGACTATTTCTTCAGACTTGAAACACTCATTCTTTTTTCTATTACATTTTTATAAATCTTTGATTTGCTTTAACCCCTTAACCATTGAAAGAGAAGCACTAAGACTGTTTCTAAGCTCTATTTGTAAAATAAACACCTTACCCCTAACATGTACAAAATGGTGAGAATTCCCCAGATGATTTGGCAGCATTCAGGATAACCTGGTGTTATAATATGCTGCTGATCAGCATCACAGTATTGCTAATAATGTTCACTTGGGTACTGGCATATCTCTGTTCAGTTAGAGTGAGTGCTGACCCAACAGCCTCTGTGGTCAGGTGAGTCAGGAATAATTAATCATAAAGAAAAATCAATTTTTGACTGACTTGGATATCCATGAGTTGCACTGATCACCATGTAAGTTCACATTTAGTAAATGCTGAAATAAAATTATTAATGTATTTATCAATAAAAGTCTTTGAAAATTACTTGGAAGAGTAAGTCAGAGTTTTAAAAATGCAAATTTACTTGGTACCTAATAATGAAGTGTTATTACATATAACCAGAATTGAGGATCTCTTTGATCCTGGAAATGGTTTACTTAAAAGCTACAGAACCAGGCCAATACATTTTAGAAACATTGATACAAATGAATGAAATAGTAAAGAAATGTTCATGGTTTACAAAAATCATTGTTTTTGATATAATAATAATCATGGATCACAACTGAGATAAAAAATGACAGATTATTTTGTTTAAAAATGCAGTTTTAATTATCTTAGTCTATAGAAATGACCATTGCATAGAGGCATTTATAGGTATGGTCTATTTAAAATCTGACATAAAAACAGTGCTATTTTGAATTTAAAAATTTTTTGATGTGCTTATGTAACCATGGTGAATAAAATGAATTTATATTTTTTCTCAAAAATTTTAGCAGTAGGTAAAGTAAGTAATCTTTAAACTCTGACCCCTTAAAAAAATTAATCATTGAACTGCCTATAGTAGTCTATGTTAAAATGAATTTTTAAAGACAAAGCTTCTAAATGAACTCAATATAAAAACATTCATTTGGAATGTACATACTGAAAATATATAGTTTTTTTTTTTAAAAAACCCATATTTTAAGTCCAATTTTTTATATCTTTTATTTTTATTTATTTTTTTTCTGAGTGGCAACAAGTTTTCTTAGTATTATATATAGCACAGGCTTTGGTTTTGGGGACTTCGCCCATATATTTCACACTGGAGTGAATGAAGTTGTATTTTATTTCTAAAGAAAAATAATACCCAGGTTCCCAATTGAGAATGTCTTGCTTAACTGAAGATTACATCATCCTTTGGTATACTCCAGGGATGGGTTCCAGGACCACTGCATTTACCAAAATTTGTACACACTCAAGTCCCATAGTCACCCCTGCCCAAAGGTAGCATGGCTTCTCTGTTTTCCTTCTGAAATACAACCAGAAACAATGTGTTTATTTCAGAAAGAATATGATTAATGATCATACAAATTGGTTGATACTGAGTTCTGGTTATACATCTGGTTACAGCATAACTAGGATTATAATGTTGTCTCGTTTTCTTGGCACTACCTGCTTAAAATGGCAACAAATCATCTCTCTAAAGAATGAACGTAATAGTCTTGCAGAAAATGAATGAATACCTTTGTTCAATAAAGGAAATATGCACTGCTCACTTTTTTGAAGGAAATACCGAAGTTATGTTTTACAACAGAGTTAGAGTTTGTAAATTCTGGGCTAATTGGTGATGATATACGACCACAGTGTGACTTGTTTTCCAAGCACATTGTAGGAATACTTTCTCTTCTATGTATTTTGTAAATAGTAAGCATTCTTTTAGCTTTGTATTGTCAATGGCAATTTCACTTGAAATTAAAGCTGTCTTTCGTCATATTTTTAACTTAAAGGATATGACTGAAGTATCATATATGAGTTTTAACTAGTTAAAAAATAAAATAATGTACATTTGAAAATATTTGCACACATTTGAAAATAAACATAAAGTTGTCTTTTAAACTACCCAGATGTGTCCTTTCTGAACAAAACTGTTAAATATAATAGGGAATGTGCCAGGAGCAGTGGTGCTCGCGCTTGTAGTCTCAGCTACTTGGAAGGCTGAGCGGAAGGATCCCCTGAGCCCAGGAGTTAGAGGCTCAGCCTGGGCAACACAGCAAGACCCTGTCTCTAAAAATAAATAAATAAATAAAAAGACTTCATTCTAAGTTTGTCATTGCTCTTATTAGTCATCATTATAAGATATTCTTTACAGCTCCAATTCTGTTTATCTCTAATTTCTTTTTGTAGCTGTATCAGTGCAATAAACAATATTACAAATATCACAGTTAAACTTTGTCATTCTTATCCAAATATTTCCAGTTTATTTTGTGAAATGGTTTTTTATTATTTTAAGCAAACTTTTCATTCTCGCACAGCATACGTTAAAAAAAAAAAAAGGATACAAATCACAGTGTACTGCTTGAAGAAATTTCACAAAATAAGCATGCCAGGGTGGCCTGTGCCCAGATCAACAAGCAGAATGCAACCGGAACCACATAAGCTCTCTCATGCTCCCTCTTAGCTGGCTGCCCCCAAAGGGCAATTACTGTCCTGACTTCTAAAATCTGTTTTTTTGAACTGCATAGATATAGAATCAAAGATGATTTCTTTTTTCCCTTTTCTTTTGTGTCTGTCCTCTTTCACTCAACATTAAAATCACGAGATTCATCCATGTTATTGCATACAGCAATCATTCATTCATTCTCCCTGCTGTGTAGTCTTCATTCCATTGTAGAATTTACCAGCACTTATTTATTCATCCTACTGTTCCTGGATATTTGTGCTGTTTCCAGTTTTTGGCTTTCATGAATAGGGCTGCTATTAACATTCTTGTGAGGCATCCTTGCATGTTCCAGAAATGTTTGGGGGTGGGGGTTCCTCTATCTGGGGCTTAGATCTATGAAGTGACAATTAGTGAAATTAGAGTTATTTTCCATTTGCATCAGGTTAGATGAGAAAGTTTAAAGATAGTTTGGTTTCAGTTAGAATAGCATTTATCATGCAAACAATTTAACAGGGTAACAAAAGCCACAGGAACTTTAATTAAACCACATGAAGTTGAGTTCGGTAATAAAGCCACGTAATGACAAACAGCTAGGAAAAGAATGGGAGAGAGAAAAAATAGAAATAATGAGGGGAGAAGGAAAGGAAGGTTAGCAGGGGAAGTAACAGGGAAATAAAGGTAAGAGAACCACAGAGAAAAAGAATGCCAGGGAAGGAAGAGAAATAAGAAAGGGAAAATTAAAGGAAGAAGGATGAAGAGAAGGGTAAAATAAAAGGTGAAGGGAAGAGAGAGACCAAGAAGAAGTAGAAAGGAATGGTGGGGTAGAGAATTTCGTAGTGGGAAAAGAAAATGCAAATATAGGATTGATTTCAGTATAATCATTCTCTAAGAACTCAGAGAATTGAGCAACACACCCTCTCCCCACATGCCACACCATCTCCTGAATTCTTTATCCCCCTCACCCAACTCTTTTTATTAATATCAGCTTTTAGTGTGCTCCGTAATTCACTTATTACATTTCTCATCCTGCCTCTTCCCTTATACTAGAACATAAGCTCCACCAAGGCAGGGTTCTCTGTTTTGTTCCTGGACATATCCCAAGTATTCAGAAGAGTAAAGATTGCCAGACACGCAGCAGGGGTGCAATAAATATTGTTGGATGAATGCATTCACCTACGTCAGTGATGCTGAGTAAGGTTAACATAATTTGAGAATGGCAGTCATTAAGTCCATAAGACAGTCAGTTTCTCGAGCTTTCAGGCCTATTCCAAAGACTGACTGTGACAGCTCACCTGCGTGCCTGTCTGCCTTACTTACTAGTCTCCAGAAAAGGAGCTGGGAATTCACTTGTATGTTAACAGAGCATCAGGGCGTCAAAGGCCCTCTTAACATCATCTCTACCCATTTTGAATATGCCCACCTAGTCATCCCACTTCATCCTTTTCTTCAGGAACATTTTTGGGCCTGAACATTGAGGTACTGTTTCTGCATAAGGTCTTCCAGTTCAAGGCCATTCCCAAAGCCTTGTTTTAGATCAAGTCCTCTAATACTCCAAGTCCCCTCCCACCTCCTTTAAAACTTTTTATTTTGAATTATAGATTCACAGGAATTTGCTAAGAAATATATGGCAAGATTCCCATGCACCCCTCTTCCAGCCTCCCACAATGTTAACATCTTGCATAGCTACAGAGCAATTTAAAAAAACCAACAGGAAATTGGCATTGGTATGAACCATAGACCTTATTCACATTTCACCAGTTATACATGGACACACGTGTGCGCTCATGTGTGTGTGTGTGCGTGTGTGTGTGTGTGTGTTGGGGGGCTCTATGCAATTTTATTCCACGTATAGCTTTGTGTAAACACCACCACAATCAAGAAGCTTAACTATACCATCAGCACAAGACTCTTTCTGGGGACCCTTTTAAAAATGTACTCCAAGTGCAGATATACCCCTCCTCCTGACACCATTCCCAGTCTTATGGGTGAACAAGGACATTCTGAATTGGAGGAGTAGCTCTGATATTAGACTTCCTGTAGTCAGGGTAAGTTGAACACTGAATATTCTGTTGTAGAATTCATTCGCAATGACTTCTGGTGAGCCTCCAATGAGGACATAATCTTCCTCTGCAATTCCATTTTTCCCCACAGCCACCTCAGTCATGGAGGAGCTCTAGGCAGTACTAGGGAGCATGTACCTTTTAGATGTGAAAGAATTTTACAAGTCCTTGACCAGCCAGTGTTGCGAGTTGGGAGAGACTCTTCAGAAGGAAGACCAGGTATGTTCTCGTCAAAGTATTTGTAAACTAGTGGCACTGCCCAACACTTGAGGACGGTTCTTATTCCCACATGTTGACCAAAGTAGTCAGGCCTACTCTGTCCAGCTGAATTCACTTCCTAGCTTATGAGTGTGCAGTGAACGAGCACAGCAGGGTCACCTATCCATTCCCTCAAGCCTACGGCATATACAAAAGAAGGAGGTCTGGACATCTTCCTATTCCCTGACCCAGGAGTATTTGATTGAGTAAGAGAGGTCTAGACCTTTAGAACACACACATGAGCCCATGATCTTTCTCCAGTAAGTTCCCAGTTAAGTAGGTAAGGAAAGAAAGTGATAAGAAATGAGGCTGGAAGGTGGCCTGGGGCCAGGTAATGAGAAGTCCTACACACTTCATAAGGAGCTTGGGTTTTATCCTCCAGTGTGGTAAGAGATAAAGACAAATGGCTAGGTTACATTACCTTGCTAATCCATTCAGGTGATCTGGGTATCTAGAAATAAATTCAGAAGGTGAAATTAAAGTGGGGATGAACGAGGCTTTT